AAAAAAATGTACGGATCTTTAAAAAAATGTACGGATTGGTTTAAAAAAATGTACGGATTGTACGGATTTTTAAAAAAAAATTGTACGGATTGTACGGATTGTTTTTCGAAAATTGTACGGATTGTACGGATTTCTTCTGAAAATGTACGGATTTTTGTACGGATGGGTTCAAAAAAGTTTTGGCCACCCTGTATATATATATATATATATATTTGTCTAAAATTTTGTCTTTTAAAGTTAAAATAGATGATTTGGCAAAATATAAATTAACAAGCCTTGTTAGAGGGAACCAAAATGTAAGAAAAAAGGCTGAATAAATTCCGGACAGTCGTCGCTGAAGTCCCATCCATTGTGGTTAACTCTGAATGTTCTAGAGACGGTGATGAACACTTCAGTGAGGAATCTATGCGTCAACGTCAACCTCTTCTTTACCATCAGCTTATCCGCCAGCATCAGACGGCGGAGGAGAGGGCGGAGGCGGACAGGCCGGATATGTCCAACTGTAGTCTGGCAAATATCATCATGGAGCATATTGGTGAGAACATTATCATCAAAACTAAAATATTTAAAACATCAGAATTTAGGGAACTGTTGTTTTGAACTAAGTGTACCGTCACTTAAAGAGAACATGGACAGCTTTTTTATTCAAGATCAGACAAAGGTTTAAGGGTACCATTGAGGATCCTATTTAGTCCCTTTCTTATCATTCATTTTCCCTTAGTTTTCACCTTTTCTTTAAGCTCTACAAAAATCCAAGAATTATTATTATTTTAGCGAATCTTATCGTTAGTTAAAAAATATCAATCTAAGTTTTAAACGTTCTTATGGAGCTTTTAGAAAGACGAATAAAACGATGTGAATTTAAAACGGACCAAACACTAAAATAAAGAATCTATGTCATTCTGTTTTTAATAAAGAACAATGAACTGGTCGCCTACAAGTATATCATCATCAATATAGATAATGTTAACATATATTTAGTTCTACAATTCTTACACTTCTATCCACTCATATCTCTTAAGTTACTAAATGCGTACTTGCGTACTTAAATTGGAACTGTGAATTTAAAACATCAATATAAAATTGAATAAAACAAAAATAACATTTGTTTGTGTGACATTGTCTTTGTGGCTGAAACAAGTTTCTAAATGAATAAATTGTAGATATTGACCGGGAACGTGAATTAAAGAAAAGACTAGCAGAGGACGAGAACGTCGAGGAGTTTGACTCCGAGAGCGAGGAGGAGGACGAGGATGAGAGTCCAAACACAAAACTACAGGAGGAGGATAAGATGTCCATGAGAAAAGAGTTTGTTGAAGCAGCGTACCATAGTTTTCTGGCAGGTGGGGTTTATATTTAGATTTTCATTTTTTAAATAGCCGTATTATATTTTAACGCGGAACATTCCTTAGGAAAAAACATAAGTAATTTTTAAGAATGGATAAAGATTGGTCTCAAAACTTTAAATCCCATAAGAAGGATGCCTCAAGTAATCTCTGTTAAGATTGATGATTTGATAAGATTTACTCCATTTCTTCTGGAGTGAGCAGTCAAAATTCTTGTTGTTTTATTGGTGCAGAAAATAAAATTCCGTGTTACCAGTAATTTCCAACTGCATATCAGAATGTTTAGTGTTTTGTCACAGGCAGCGATTTAAATAATTCTTACTAAGCTGTTATTGAGATTTAAATAAAAGACTTTATTTTCTATGTGTTACAGTGCTGGGACTAATTTAAAACCAGTTAATCACTTTGTCAAGACTTTCCGAATGTTTGACTTTGGACGTTTGAATTGAGACCAATCGAGTTAAACTTAAAACAAAACTTTAAAATTGCGGCCTCAGAATCTTAAACGCAAATGTTTAAAGTGGAATTGGGGATATTATTGCCTTTTTAATGATATAATTAAATCCAGGTACAGATGCTGGGGTAGATTACAAGAAGATCGATACAGATTCGAACCTGGACGATCTTATTCTCGAGGACATGGAAACAGAAGAGAGATATTTCGAGGAGGACTCAAGAGACGAGTAGATCAAAGAAGGATGAATATATCAAAGAATGATGATAAGATTATGAAAGGATGATGATAGTATGGAATAGATGAAACAACTCAAACAGTCTGAAGGTGATAAACGGTTGGATAAACCTGAAAATGATCAGAAAGCAGAAGCAATGAACTACTTGTTTACTGTCTACATAGTCTCTCCATTGATCTAGGAAACAATTCATTCAGAAAAGAAATCTTGAAGATATAATCATATCAGATGGTTTGAAAGAAATATTTCGATATTACACTTTTGTTTAGATCAGATGTTGAACTTATTATAAAATGTTCTAGAATATTCTAGATTAAATTTTATCTAACCTTGCAGTTAATGTGATTCTTTAATGTTTGTAACTATTAAATGCATTTAAGGTTAGTCTTTCAATGAAGTATTACACATTTTACGAAATATTGTATCACTGTACTAGTTTGATCATAGCCCACCAGCTCCTGGTCCCTGGCCTTATATAAGAGTCTTGTGCCTTGCTCTCTTAATGAATATTATTTTCAATACCAACTCCTGTAAGCGATATTAGCATACCAACAACATTAAATTTATATAAAAATTATACTTACTTTTAATCTATCGAAATTTTATTTATACAGCACAGGTCAAGTTTAAGTAAATTTCAGAAAGATAAATCTAAATTTTTTTCGTAGATTTTCAACATTTTACGAAAATCAAAAACCTTCCTTGAGGGTGAGGTCACTCAAAAGATCAAGACCGTAATGGCTTAGCCGTTTTGACGTTTATTGGAGACGAACAAACAGATAGACAGCCAAGCAATGTATATTGATAATGTAAATAGGTTACTGTGATAACCAGAAAACTCGGAATAGGAAGCCGCCTTTAAAGCGATACTCAAGTGTACTTAATTTAGTGATTTAAAAAGTTTTTAGTAAAACCATTTGCTTTTTACCAAATTAAGTACACTTCAGTATCGCTATAAAGTCGGCTTCGTATTTCAGAGTTTTCTGGTTATCACTGAAGGTATGTGCATTACAGTGTTGAGTTTCAGTTCGTATAACCCTTCATTTGCTACCAGAGGAATTGATATTTGAACTGATGTTTTATCAAGTACAAGATAACTGTTTATCAACTTTCAAGCGATAACTACGAATCTTAATTAAGAACAATTATATATTTGATACCCTCTAACACCTAAAATTGCATCCTATTTAGTGTTATCCTTTTTATCTAGAATTGTTAAACATGTGCAAGCTGTTGTATATAAGTTTGGGTCAGGTCCCGACCGGTTCAGCCGGCTTAATCTATTTGGATACAAAATGACAGACAGACAAACAAACAGACAAGATAAATTTATATTTGGGGTGTTCCACGAAACATAACAGTTAAGTAGTTTTTAATGTCTTCTTCCTTACACTGTATTAGATTTTTTCCAGTTTATTTCGTTTATAAAATCTTTTACTCAAATATATTTTACTTTGAAATCATTTTTCTATAACATGACTATGGTATGATATTTTTTTTTATTTTCTTTGGTATCAAACAACTTATCAAATTATGGAAGAAGACATTTAAAACTAATTACCAACTGTTATGTTTCGTGGGACATCCTGTACATTAAAATCTATATAATAAAGCTATATATATATATATACAGGTTTACCCACAGAGGATGCGACTTTAGAGACGATTTGTAATGCTTCAAGTTTGACGATTCCAAGTTTAAATTAAGTCTTGTGCCTCGAATTTAGAGACGATTGTAGGAAATTATTTGATCTTCTACCTTACATTCCAGCTTCCCCTCAGCTGTAAACTTTATTTTTTCTATGGCAAATTATTTAACAGGCCATTTGTATGGTATAACGCTTAATCATTAGATCGTTTTATTTAAAGAGTTTTATGTCGTCATTGAAGTCTTATATAACCTTTGTGGGTAACTCTGTACATATTTTTTATGTATGTATGTATTAATGTTAGCTATAGCTGGCCAAACGGCTCGACCTCATTGGTTTAAAAAGTTTGAGGGAACTCGTTGGTACCGGACCATGGGTGGGTGGCATAGGCTAAAAAATCTAAATTTTCTCTTTCAAAAATCGAAACTTCATTGTTATGATTCAAATATAGAAATATTATTATCACTATCATTAATATTTTGTTATCTGTTATTTTGTTTTAGTTGAAGGAGGGTGACCCGTCTGAAAAGATTCATTTACCGTAAACGGAGGTTTTCTGAATAAAATGTTTTTGTAAGGAGTACAGTGTATACTTTAACATGTTAAAAACTTTTGTAATAATTTGTTTTTTTTTATTGGAAAATTGTAAGATATTTGTAGTACAATGTACCTGCAGTCATTGAACGCCATCCTTATTTGATAATTGTAATTTTTTAGAAAAATGTAAAATGAAATTTGCTGAACAAAGACGAAATTTTCCTAGTTTGTACTCATCAACACTCACAGTACACATTTGTTATCATCGTACCATCATACGTAGGAAAATTTTCAGTCTTGGACTTTACACCCCAGCCGTTCATCGTTCGACATGAATCTTGCTTTTGAGCATGAACCAGGTTAGTGTCCAGGGGGATATATAAATAAATCGACGAAATGATATGATGAAGCCATAGTTTAAACATTTTCCTTTTTGTAGGTCATTTAGGCCATAAGAGGTTGTTAGAGGTCATTAGAAGGTCAAACACTGGATTTGTTGCTACTACTGTATTCCCTGGGTTTCTAGCTTTCGTTTGATATGCATAAAAGCCATGGTTGAAATATATTCTATTTTTGGAGGTCATTAGAGATCATTAGAAGGTCAAACACTGGATTTGTTGCTACTACTGTATTCCCTGGATTCCTAGCTTTGGTTTGATATGCATAAAGCCATAATTAAAACATTTTCATTTTTGGAGGTTATTTAGGTCATTCGAGGTCGTAAGAGGTCATTAGAAGGTCAAACGCTGTATTTGTTGCTACTACTGTATTACCTGGGTTCCTAGCTTTCGTTTGATATGCATAAAGCCATAGTTAAAACATGTTCATTTTTGGAGGTCATTTAGGTCATTAGAGGTCGTTAGAGGTCAGTAGAACGTCAAACACTGCAACTGTTTTCCTGGGGTTCCTAGCTTTCGTTTGATATACATAAAGCCATCGTTAAAACATTTTTATTTTTGGAGGTCATTTAGGTCATTAGAGGTCGTAAGAGGTCATTAGATGGTCAAACACTAGATCTGTTGCTGCTTCTGTATTCCCTGGGTTTCTAGCTTTCGATTGATATGCATTAAGCCATAGTTGAAATATTTTCTATTTGTGGAGGTCATTAGAGGTCATTAGAGGTCATTANTAATTGAGATGGATCAATCCCTCGAAATAGACGGATGTGTAGAAGTAGACATCTTGCTACCTTGATGATTTCTGATAATCTACTTAATTGTAGATTTTTTTTACAAATTTTTGGAGATGTTTTTTGTTCTTTTCGAACATTTACAAGATACAAAATGCCAGTAAATTATTTTTAAATAATTAATTAAATCCGGTAGAGTTATCTTTTCTTCTTGAGTTGTACTTTTTTCTCAGGATTCTTATATACGCATTGTATTTATGGAACTTGAATTGAATTAAGGAATTGAATCTTTGCCACAAACTCTAATTTTCTAATCCCTATATATTTTCAACCCCATGTCGTAGACCTTAGATATTTCAAACTATGAATTATGTTATGTAGATCAAATACTCCAAGTTTGAAATATCAAAGGTTTACACCATCCGGTTGCAGTTGTTATTGGGATGAGGGGATGAGAAAATTTGGGTTTGTGGCAAAAACTCAGTTCCTTTAAATATTTATGGAATTGAATATATTTAAATATCCGACCACCTTGTGTTGTCATTTGGGACTAAATGTTTTTTGTTAGGATTTTAACTTTTTTTTGATGTTAATTTTTAATTTATGGAACTTGAATTGAATAAAGGAATTGAGTCTTTGCCACAAGCTCTAATTTTCTAATCCCTATATATTTTCAACCCCATGTTGTAGACCTTAGATATTTCAAACTATGAATTATGTTATATCAAATAATCCAAGTTTGAAATATCAAAGGTTTTCACCATCCGGTTGCAGTTGTTATGGGGATCAGAAAATTTGGGTTTGTGGCAAAAACTTAGTTCATTTAAATATTTATGGAATTGAATATATTTAAATATCCAACCACCTTGTGTTGTCATTTGGGACTAAATGTTTTTTGTTAGGATTTTAACTTTTTTTTATGTTAATTTTCGGTTTAGATTTAAGTCTTCTAAAATCTCCCACAATGTTCAGGATAAAAAACTGACAAAAATGTAAAGATCCTGGCAAAAAACATACTACCCTCATGATAAAACAAAGCAGTTTTGAAACAATCCTCCTTTCTTTTTTGGAGATGTTTTTTGTTCTTTTCGAACATTTACAAGATACAAAATTCCAGGAAATTCTTTTCAAATAATTAATCAAATCCAATAGAGTTATCTTTTCTCAGGATTCTTATACATGCATTGTATTTATGGAACTTCATGACAGTCACAAGTTAATAAAAGAATGTTAATGCATGGAATAGGACATAATGTAATATTAAGTCAAAATTTTCCAATGAAATTGCACAGATCAACATTGCTTTTCTAACTTTAATTTATTCTAGGTGAGACTTCTACCTTCTCCCTCATCTGGAATGGAGATGTGGTTGCCGTCGGATTATGTGATCTGAAACTCCTGGATGAGTTTGATCAAATCAAACATGATATAGAGCTAAGGTTAGTTTTTAGACTTATTATAGTGGGACCCGTAAAATTGTGAAATAGAAAGACAATTGTTAGATTCCAGTTATAAATTTAAAAAGTCCAATGAACCTGAAAATAAGTTTATGTTAAATTAGTGAAATTATTTGCCTTCTCATAACATCAAAAATGCAAAAGATTGCTCAAACATCGTCTTACTATTCCATAGTTTTATGGGTTTCACTGTTTGTTTGATTGTTTAAAAGTAACTTTCTATTTCATTGTAAGAAAATAAAAATGTAACAAAAAAGAGAGATATTACATAAACATACCAACATGCAACAAGAATAAAAAATCTAAATACTTTTTTAATTTGAGCTGTTAGTAATGGTGTAAGATTATAGGTTAATGAGGTACATTTTTTGCCTTTGAAATTTTGCGTTTTAAATTAATCTGATAAAATACGTTCAGAATATTAAAGAAAGAAAGTTGAACTAGTTAAGACTGGGTAAACCACCTTTTTAAATCATCATTTAGAACAACATTAACAGAGCGTCCCATATTAATTGGAGTATCTCCAAATTTTAACGCCGAAATACGCACATAATACTAAAAAATCATGATGTTTTCTGCGTGCAAATTTTTACAATAAGCTTATACAATTTTTTAAAATGATTTATTCTTTTTAAATAATCTGGTTAGTCCCGAAAATCACAGTTTATAGCCATAAACGATTCGAAATTATGTGAGACACCCTGTAGATGTAGAAAGTCTGATATATGAAAAAATTATTTAAACTCTGACCTTTGCTAAAAGAAGCTCTGATTTAAAGATGACCAAAAACATTTTAAATATGCTGATCGGCCTTCTAAGAGTATGTTAATAGTTTTTTACGCAAATTTTTTTTTTACCATGTGGGAACATGGAATACAAGAAAAAGACTAAAAAAAATCTGTATAGTTGTCTCATCCTTTGTGGATAACCCTGTATTTTATTGGAATTAATTGAAGTAATATATTTGATATTGGGCTTCATTTTTACGCAGTCGGTTCAGATCAATTTTACTATTTTACAAACAACATTATTTTTACAAAGAAGTTGAGTTTTTGCCACAAACTCTGATTTTCTAATCTCTATATATATCAAATATCAAATATCAAACATCAAATATCAAATATCAAATATCAAAGGTCTTCGTCAGATTGCAAAGATTAGCGGTACGTGTATTAAACTGAAGTATAAGAAGGAGTAATCAGTTCCTCTCCACGTTGAAATTTCTAAATTTTAACTTGACTATTTTCTCAGAGAAGGCATAGAGTATGCTTCGGAGAGGGCAGGTATGTCTGATCTATTCCGTCAGCCCCTCACTACTAGTCATATTTGTTCTACCGCTCTCAACTTTCCAGCTCCTACAAAACATCCAACGACAAATAATTCTGGTTTAGCTCCGGATCCAGATTCCTGCAGGGCATCAAATAAAGCTCCTAAACCTTCAGAAGGTTCGGAAGAAAACAACTCCATCTCAAATCCAGGAATTAGTTATCCTGACAAAGTTGAAACCGTTATATCCGGAGCATTGCTTACGACAACTGATGAGATTAGATCAACACCTAGAGCTGACCCTGACCCTGCTCCTGGTTCTAGTAAGATCTTGTTCACCAAAACTCTTAAGAACCCGAGAAGTAGTGAGAAAAATTCCGGATCTGTCAATCTAAAGAAACCGAAGAATTTTCTGGAGAATTATAAAATACCAAAAAAAAGACTCATTGAAAAAGTCCAAGGTGAGCAGAATTCCCCAAGATATTGCAACCACATTGAACCTGTCCAATGTTTCCTCTCAGGTTGGTGCCAACTCAAATCCACTGGTTCCACCAACCCCGGAGAGAGGACAGTTTTCTAGTGGATCGGAGAAAGTAACTCCTGGAAAGAGGAATTGGTCTCTAATCGCACTACCTACATCTTCGTCCAGTCTCGCCAATGTAACGTCATGTATCCCGGAAAATACTTCTGATGGAACCAAAGGAAAAAAGACGCTTCCCCAACCGTTCTCAACGATGGGCCACGAGGTAATTATATAAGATATTATTATTTTTTAAGTTCTGTAATATTTTATTATTGCAGGGAAATCGTCGAAGAAATTTCGATGGTTTGGCTTTTAATTCTAGGGTATAAATGTCAATTTGAAAAAAATCGATTATTTAACTTAAAGGGAGTGTTCGCGAAAAATGAAAGGGGGCATAGGCTTAATGCGATAAAAAAGCGCTTTTGATCGCTACTAATCTTACTTCTATCTGTTGTGTCTATAAGGAGAAAATTGGTAAAAACGACTAATACCGAAGAACGTAGTGTCCATACAAATTCAGAAAGATGCAACATTCATCTCGGATCGTAAACAAATCAATTTAATTCCAAACAATTCATTCAGATAATACAAACAATAGTCATTGATAGAATATATAGAATATTTATAGAATGGTTTCTATAACACTTAACACTGCGCTAGGATCAATTTTGCAGAGGAGCAAAACCATGGCCAAGAACTGTAATCACAGAAGAGCTGAGGAAGGTTGAGGATATCCGGGTACCTAAGATACATGATCTCTACTCCAGGAAATGCAGGGTGGAAATAACATCTAGAGATATTCGTCTAGCTGAGCTGGCCAGGTATAGATATCAACCAACCGAAATAAAGTATGTAAATATTGTAAAATGTAGATGATGTAGATAGAGCCAAGAATTGACGTTTGAAGGTCATTCAATAAACTCGATAAAAATGAAGAAAAAACATTTCATTCAAAAAAAAAAAAAAATGCTTAAACAAACTAATGCTAGTTCAATATAAATACCTATTGTTTAATTTTTTAAATCCTTTTACCTTTAGCTTAAAGGTCGGAAATCTTATGCTTAAGGAGACGACCTTCAATCTAAAAGTGTCACAAAATAAATAGTTCTTAGAATTAATTTTTACATAGAAATTGGCTATCGCCGTAATTATGTGATGAAATGAACCCGTGGCAAGTAAGACATTTTGTAATATTATATGAATATATAATAAATGAATAAATGAATAGATGAATAAATGAATAATGAATAAATGAACAAATGAACTAATGATTTAATGAATAATTGAATAATGAGTAAATGAATAAATGAATAAATGAATAAATGAATAAATGAATAAATGAATACATGAATAATTAATAAATAAATAAATAAATTCATTATTAATTAAATGAATAAAAGAATAAATGAATAAAAGAATAAAAGAATAAAAGAATAAAAGACTAAAAGAATTAATGAATAATGAGTAAATGAATAAATGGATAAATGAATTAATGAATAATGAATAATTGAATAATTAGTAAATGAATAGATGAATAAATGAATAAATGAACAAATGAATAATGAATAAATGAATACCGAATAAATGAACAAATGAATAAATGAATAAATGAATAATTGAATAACTGAATAATTGCAAAAGTGACTAATGATTAATGAACAAATGAATAAATGAACAAACGAATCAATGAATCAATGAACAATGAACAAATGAACAAATGAACAGATGAACAAATGACCAAATGATCAAACGAACAAATGAACAAACGAACAAATGAACAACCGAATAAACGACCGAATGAACAAACGAACAGATGAACAACGAACAAATGAACAAATGAACAAATGAACAACCGAATAAATGAACAAATGAATAGACGAACAGCCGAACAAATGAACAACTGAGCAAACGAACAAACGACCAAATGAACAAATGAACAAGTGAATAAATGAATAAATGATTAAATGGACAAACGAATAACTGAATAATAATGAATAAATTAATAAATTAATAAATTTGCAAAATAAATAGTAATTAACGATCCACTTTCCTGTTCAAATTACCGTTAAGTACTCGTTAATTAATAAATTTGCAAAATGAATAGCAATCAAGTAAGGGAATGCTTGTTGTTATAAAATAGAGTATCAGAAAATGAATAGTAGTTAATTAAAGGAGATGGACTACTTGATGTTATGAATTAAAGTATTAGAACTCCTTCTGTTTTAATCTTAACCTGACCAAAATTAATCCTTTCCGACGGGCAATGGTTTTTTACACAAGGATTGACTATTGGTGTTTTTTAAAATAACGTTTTAGAAACCATTCTGTGCTAATTTTAACCTGACTAATATTAATCTTTTCCGACGGGCAATGGTTTTTAAAACAAGGATTGACTATTAATGTTTATAAAGTAACGTGTTAGAAACCATTCTGTGCTAATTTTAACCTGACTAATATTAATCCGTTCCGACGGACAATGGTTTTTTAAACAAGGATTGACTATTGATGTTTTGAAACAGAGTATTAATTTTTAACCTGACTGATATTATCCCTTTCTAAAATAACGTGTTAGAAACCATTCTGTGCTAATTTTAACCTGACTAATATTAATCCGTTCCGACGGACAATGGTTTTTCAAACCAGGATTGACTATTGATGTTTTGAACCAGAGTAGTAATTTTTAACCTGACTGATATTAATCTTTTCTGACAGGTAATTGTTTTAAACAAGGATTGACTAAAATAAGTATTAAAATCCATTCTGTATTCATTTTCCGGACTAATATTAATACCTAACCTAACCATCCATCCATCCATCCATCCATCCATCCATCCATCCATCCATCCATCCATCCATCCATCCATCCATCCATTCATCCATCCATCCATCCATCCATCCATCTCCCAACCAACCAAATAATCTATCAGTCATTATACTACCATAATTATGGGTCAGATGACTCTTAATTGGAGTCCATTATCGAGTAGCCAATCAACCATATAATTCAGTAAATTACAGTATTCTAATTAAGCAAATTATCATGTGTCAAATTAACCAGTCAACCAGTCAATCAATCAATCGATCAATCAATCAATCAATCATTCAATCAGCCAATCAATCAATCATTCAATCAGCCAATCAATCAATCAATCAATCAATCAATCAATCAATCAATCAATCAATCAATCACCAAACCAACATGTCCCTACTCTCCTGCGCTGCTCTTCAATTCTGTTGAAAATTGTAATTATGAGATTAAACTATATTTGTATATATATCTATATGTTAAAAAGGGTATCATAAAACTTTTGTTCATATATGCAATAAAATCCTCATTAATTATAAGGTAGGCTCACGGAGTAATCAATCCTATTCGATATAAGTTTAAGTTTATAAAATTCACTGTTTTAAGTTTATATTGAGATATAGGAGGAAGCACGGATTGTTATTTGATCCCTCACACTGTGCGTCTTGAAGGTTTTCCTTTCCCCGTTTTCTCAAACCTAGGATGTTTGTCCCTGACCTCTCTGGTCCTGCTGCTGCTGCTACCCTTCTCACTCTTCCTGGACTGCTCCTCCCAGCTGCTCCTTCTTTTGGTCGCTCCCCGGTGGAGCCGCTTTTGAGCATTTCCTACCCGGTTATCCACAGCAAAGAAGTGGCAGAATACGTCGGGGTTAGAGTCGTACAGTTTCTTCCTCAAAACTGGATCCAGGGTCTCATGTACTAGAGCATTATGACCTATCACATCGCACTTCTTGCACGTCGAGGTTTGCTCTGAGCATCTGTCGTAAGGGTGTTGATCCCCTCCACACCCCTGGCAATTTACCCGTAGTTTGCATTTATTTGCCAGGTGCCCCTCTTCCCTACAGTAGTAACAAACCCGTGTGTCCTTACTTGTTTGTAACGATGGTTGTTTCCTGGTAGGGGGCTCCTGTTCCAGCACCTGATCCAACTTGTACTCCATCCGGGATAGTAAGGCCTCGGTGGCCTGGTTCTGCTTCCGCATCTCCAGCTTCATCCTGTCTATCACTTCATCCGCCACTCTGTTAACAAGGTCCTCTGAGTTCACCCTTATCTCGGCTGTGGGAAGGACCGGAGACGGAGACAAGATGTCAGTAAGACTTAGTAAATCCTGCTCAAATTCCATCAGTGATCCATCCTGGGACTCATTTGCTAAGTCGTCAACTTCAGGTTCTTCTGGCTCATCCTCCGTCTGAGCCATTGCTAGTGTTCTGAGCGAGTTCAACCTGGACAAGAATACAAATTAGCACATTGAATTATTGATAAATGATTGTCAATCAAACAATATTACCCTGCCAATTATACCATTGACTAGAATTGAGTTTCAAGTGCTAGATTTCCCTTTCCCTGGTACTACCGTCAACTATGCCATTGAATAAATAAATTTAGGGTGCCAGATAGAGTATGTTAATGATTATCTATCAAGCATCATTACCCCGTCAATTATACCATTGACTAGGTTTGGGTTACCAGTATTAGATTTACCTTCCCCTGGTACTACCGTCAACTATACCATTGACTAGGTTTGGGATGTCAGTGCATGGAAGTAACTGACTTTCAGTCAATTAATCAATCAATTAATCATTACCTAGCCGGGGTCGGTCGTCGTCCGCTCTCAACCAGGGCCTCTTCCTCCCCTTTTAACTCGGCTAACCTTCTCTTTAATTGAGCCCCCATCAACGTCTCCTGTATCAGCCCCTTTTGAACAAGCTCGTTGACCACCTCACACAGCTCTTTCTGCTTCTTGGGGAGCTCCATGTTCGACGTGTCGGACTTCTGTGCTAGCAGCACCTGGGCAGCATCCTGTTTAAACGTACTGATGTCCGTGGAAGTTTTCTTGGCTAAAAACGTGAAATTCGCCTTCTCCACAATTGTTTTAAGAAGAGTGTAGCACGAGGTCTGCCCAGTTAACCAAAACATGGCTACGACGGCTTTGTCGGATTTCCTAATCACAACCACAAAATACGCTACCATTCTTCAAATCCTGTTCCCCCTGACTAATTCAATCATTGCTTCAGCCCTTAGGAATAAAAAACCTGCTCCGGATATGACGTCATTTTCAACACAGTTGATTCCTTATTGCATGACTTACAGCTCGACACTCTCATTAAATCACCACTACAATCCTTTCTGCTGCTTTTGCTCCCACATCTCCTGGCCTTGTGATTCCCGTCCATGTCCCTTACGTCCCATGATCCTGTCCCTTTCTCCTCTAGGATAGTTTTGTATCGTAATTTCCTTCCAATTCCTTATTCTGTTGGGTTCCTCTAATTCTAACTCACTGTTCGACATTAATTATTTTAGTGTCCAATTACCCTTTTATAAATTTATTCTAGTTTACTGTTTGACATTATTTATGTTAGAATCCAATTACCCTTTTATAGTTTTATACGGATGGTGTTCCGTCTTTCTTTTCCGGCCATTTCATCGTTTTAAATAAAAACCTATTATACCAAAGGTTCCTCTATCTCAGTCTATCATTCTTATTGGACGTCTTACATTTATTCCAACGTAGTATTGTCCCTTATTCAATGCTAGCTGTAAACATATTATTCCTTATATTACACCATATGTTTCCTCTATCCCTGGTTATCCTTCTCATGGGAATTATTACGTTTAATCCAACGTAACGATGCCCCTTTTCTAAGCAACTTAAAAGAACCATATGTTCCTCCTATATATGTGTTTACTGCCTCAAAAAGGACACACATCCCTGGTTATCCTTCTCATGGGATTTATTACGTTTAATCCAACGTAATGATGCCCCTTTTATAAGCAACATATTAAACCATATGTTCCTCCTATATCTCTGTTTACTGCCTCAAAAAGGACATACATTATTAATCCATTTATTTATTGAACTAGCTGATAGGATTCCATGCATGTAACACTGGTGCAGATAATCGATATATTACATTTACTCCAATGTAACGATTACCCTGTTAGTCTGTTAGCTCGTCCTGGATCCTCCTCATGAAGTGTCATTTGATTACTCCGACCCCCTCCAACCCAATCCATAGAATCTATTTGACTATCATCTATAATATTAATCTCATTGTATACTAAATAATTTGGGAATCAAGATTCAAACTAAAATCATAATACTTAAAAATGTAATATATTTATAATGGTTCAAATTTAAGGTTGTACTGATTCAAAGATTATTTTCATTGATAAATATTTTTACTCGTAAATATTAATTATACATTTACCAAAAATATAAATAACGTCTGTACTTAATCAGTGAAAAGTAATTTGATCTTAATCAAGTATTACTCGTAAGTATGAGTACTAAGTTAACCAATCTTAACATTAAAAAACAAATTTTTGTAATAATAATACAGTTAACCAAAAATGTAATTAACGTCTGTACTTAATCAGTGAAAGAATCAACCACCCTTATACTCTTCAAGCTCAAATACTGACAAAATAATTATTCAGTTTATAACCACGGCCTAGTTACTAATAATGTTTCCAAATTAAATGTTGTACCTATTCAAAGATTATTTACTAAAAATAAAAATACCGTCTGTACTTAATCAGCGACCAACTCAAGAACATATCCCTTAATCAAATATTACTCCCAAATATTAGTGTCTAATTAACCAACCTTAACCATAAAAGGAATTTACGTTCCACTCTCAATTACCCCGAATTAAATTACTCATTACTCCCAAACATTAATTATTAAGAATCAAGATTTAAAATTAAAATAAAAATACAAATAAAATTAAAATTAAAATTAAAAGTAAAAATAAAAATAAAAATTACAAATGTAATTAACGATCTACTTAATTATTAATTATTAAGAATCACGATTTAAGATTAAAATAAAAATGCAAATACAAATAAAATTAAAATTAAAATTAAAAGTAAAAATAAAAATTAAATTACAAATGTAATTAACGATCTACTTTCCTGTTCACAATAACGTTTAGTACTCGTTAATTAATAAATTTGCAAAATCAATCAATAGTAATTATTACAGAAATAGAAAGGGGGATATGTATACCCGTCTTCCCTGAGGGTGGTGATTTCGGTTTGCAGCATTGCACACAGTTCTGCATTCCAAACGTGGAAGTTGTCTCCACCAACCTCAGCTGCTAGATACACAAAGCAGACAGCCACCTTGCTATCGTTCTCATGTATTAGTATCCACTCTCGTTCATTATCCAAGTACGGATGCATTGGAAGCGGAGGTTCATACCGTGAATGGTTAAGGCCTGGCTTAATTATGGTTAGTATTCCCCCACCTTTCTTTTCTTTTCCAAGTCTCTCCTTGGAGTACCAAGTGAATTTGTCTAGACAAGCCAGATCGTCATTGGATCCCTGTCTCAGATGCGTTTCACTTACGCTGAGTACATGAATGTTATGGTCCTCCATGACCTCCACAATCATGTCTTGTTTGGTGTCTCGTATGAGCCCATTGCAGTTCCATATTGCACAGTTAATGCTGCTAGGCACTGCTACTGTTCTTTGCAAATTACCGCGGTTTTCGACCCGTCTAGCCCGACGCCTATTGCTAGGCTTCCCCATCACTTGGGAATAGAGGGTGTTTTCTGAAAAAAGTATATAAGGTTGGTACTACATTTCTTCTTACCTCAAAAACCACCCTGCGTTGTTGCTGAACCCTAATTATCTAATTAATTAATTCAAACACACTAACCAACAGAATTGGTTTCAAATTAATACAAAACTAATATTATGATTTTCCAGACTGCTTTAAGGTTTTTATGAGCAGATATTAGTACCCCGACATTGAAATTCATTATTAAATGAATAATGAATAAATGAATAAATGAATAAATGAATAAATGAGTAAATGAATAAATAATTATATGAATTTATTAATAAATGAATAAATGAATAAATGAGTAAATGAATAAATAAATATATGAATATATAAATAAATGAATAATTGAATAGATGAATAAATGAACAATCAACAAATGAACAAATGAACTAATGGATTAATGAATAATTGAATAATGAGTAAATGAATAAATGAATAAATGAATAAATGAGTAAATGAATAAATAAATATATGAATATTTAAATAAATGAATAAATGAATTAATGAGTAAATGAATAAATAAATATATGAATATATAATAAATGAATAAATGAATAGATGAATAAATGAATAATGAATAAATGAACAAATGAACTAATGATTTAATGAATAATTGAATAATGAGTAAATGAATAAATGAATAAATGAATAAATGAATAAATGAATAAATGAATACATGAATAATTAATAAATAAATAAATAAATTCATTATTAATTAAATGAATAAAAGAATAAATGAATAAAAGAATAAAAGAATAAAAGAATAAAAGACTAAAAGAATTAATGAATAATGAGTAAATGAATAAATGGATAAATGAATTAATGAATAATGAATAATTGAATAATTAGTAAATGAATAGATGAATAAATGAATAAATGAACAAATGAATAATGAATAAATGAATACCGAATAAATGAACAAATGAATAAATGAATAAATGAATAATTGAATAACTGAATAATTGCAAAAGTGACTAATGATTAATGAACAAATGAATAAATGAACAAACGAATCAATGAATCAATGAACAATGAACAAATGAACAAATGAACAGATGAACAAATGACCAAATGATCAAACGAACAAATGAACAAACGAACAAATGAACATGCAGAATAAAAGAATGTATGAACCTGGGTTCCAATTAAATCCACTAGGTTTGCCGTCCTTCCGGGGAACACTATTTACTTGTATAAGCTCTAGATTGTGTTCTATCCCAGACTCTCTATATAGTTAAATATTATTAATGCTCAAGAATAATATGTAACCACTCGAATGCAACAAAAAAGAATATAATAAAACAAGACATTCGTAAATATATATATATGTTGCCTATAGCCGGTCAAACGGCTGGACCGATTGTGCTGAAATTTTTTGTGAACACTCAAGGGTGGCCGCGGGGGGGGGGGTGTTATACGCTAAAAAAACGAAATATATAAGCTAGTACCTAATAAAAAAATAGAAATCAAAGATGAAAAATTACAACAAAAAAACGTAGTTCGCTTACAAGTATTCCCCTAAAACACGATCTGTATATCTAAATAGTTTCAAAATATTCAGTAATTGGAACTTACCCTTCAGGAGTTTGCTCTGGATGAAAAGTAAAGACCCCCCGCCATCTTGGTTCAAGGGGAGATTCATCATCAAATCCAATTCCTTAAAAACATAATAAATTATTTTTAAAGAGACTAATGGCGTAATTTCAAATTATTGAGTTGCCTGTCTGATTTTTATTACCTTTGTTTTATCAAGGATTTGTGAGATATCAAGTGGCTTGATTTAACTTTTTAAATAGAATAACGAAGAAGATATCTTCCTCATTGTGACTCAGATGTAGGAGGCTCACTAGAGATTTCATTATTCTACAGTCTCTTCATTTCAAATGTCTATACTGGTTAAACAATAGAAGACTAAAGCAGAGGGATATTTAATACCTGACTCTTGCTCCTGGTCTTGTTTGCCCCCCTCCTCTCCAACCATCCTCTCTACTGGATCCATACTCGGAGTTGAACCTATCCCGGATCCCCCCATTGTCTCTCATACATTCTGGAAAGATCTAACAAAACCGTATTTAACATAAGATGGCTAAATTTTTCCACTCAAGTCAACTGTATGGATCACAATTATAAAACTAAACATAATGAAATAGAGCTCTGTTGAGTACTTTCAAGTCACAGGTCATTTACTTTCCAACTTTAAATTAAATGATCAAAAACACTTCGGCACAAGTCAAATAATAATAAGGGAGGAAATGTTGAAGGGTCAAATAAATGACAAGAATTTTTTTTTATTTAAATTATTTAAAAGAACCTTTCAGACATGTTTTTAGAAAGATCGGTTTTCTTTTGTATTTCTGATTTCGCTCTCTTAAATAATGTTATTTATTGATATACAAATTAAAACTGATAGAAGGGAGGGATATTTGTGTTTGGGGGGTAAGAAGGAGGGGGAGGGGGCTTTCTTTTAATGCTTTGGATGATGATGCAATATTAACCCCAATAAAATGATGTTCTCAGTGTAATTTGATCAGTAGTTTTGAAAAGATGAAACATGACCCATGAATGTATCTCTTATATCTCTACAATACATAAATATTTACAAATTACAGATAGTTGGAAACATAGGAGATTGAGTACTAGATATATATCTCAATACTAAAAGAATGAATGAATGTATAAACTAAGAATAAGTTCTCCATATCAGAGGAAGACCGACCAATTGAATCCAGTCTCGACTACTATCCTGTGTTTAGTGTAGTCCGGTTATATGTTTGACAAATCATGGGAAGAAAAGGCGTAAAACAAGTTTTCAAAATATCATAATTTACTTTTGAAGGGACTGTAAGCGTAATTTTTAGTGACCCTTCATGCAAAAATAGCAATGCCCGATTTACAACGGTACCCTTAAAAGCTTTGTCCGATCAAGTATGAATTAGTTATTATTGTTATTGTTTTTTAACTTTTTATTTTCAATTGCTTTTTATCTGCGAAAGTGACTTGCGCATTTCTTATATATAGGAAGCAATAGAGAAACTTAAAGAAATAAAACAAGTTTCGACTCAGGAAAACGCCTGAATCTTTCAAATTTTTATCAGATTTTGGTTTCGAGGCTACTATTGTAATTTGTTTATGAAGGGTCACTTGGAAATTACGTTTACAGTCCCTTTAAAGCATTTAGCGTATACTAAATTAAAGGAGTGTATATTCTCAATTAGATTTTCATAAGAGGAGAAATTATGGAAAATGTCAAAACTAATAAAATATGAGGGAAAAAATTATTTTCAAAAAAATTTAAAAGTAAATTTTTTAAACTTGAGGTTGCAGTTTAATAATAGAAGGGAAAATATGCATAGAAATTGTACCAATCCTAGTTTTTATTTATAAAGATTTAAACGACTTTTTCAAGTATAAAATTCCCAGTTAGAGTTAGACTAAAAAGAAAATCAAATCTTTTTGTTTTGTAACTTAATTTTTGCATTCTCCTGAATACATTGTTTTGTGTTCATCTTCATTACTTAAAATGGGGGGAACATAAATATTGATTAGTACAATTAAAAATCATATTTGAAAAATAAAGGGTTACCACCTTCAGAGACGACTGTAGTGAATTTATACTGTCTGTTTCCTTGTCTTTAAGATTCCCTTCAACTAATAAACTTTTTCTTTCTTTGCCAATTTATTAAAAAGGTCACCAAAGAACTTACTGACATATTTAAAAGAGGACCTAATTCAACCCTTGAAATTGTCATAGTTAAAAGCGTTTGCGGTCGTCTTTACAGTCTCATCCTCTGTGAATAACCCTGTATTATGATAAAAAAAAATTCCTGGATGGCTTAAAAAATGAAAACAATACGCATATGATCCAAGATATTTAAAACCATATGTAACTTTATAACATGGTTGGATTATGGGGCTAGGGGTACATTTGATTGGATTTAAACTTCAACATTACAAAGAGCAGCTTTACGAATGATGGCTACAATTATCAAATTCGAACTTGTTATAAATGTATGGAAATTGTGAACTGTTAAAAATGTTGTAATTGCATAAATCCTTCAAGCTTTTTCCCCCGGGGTAAAAACGTTGAACATGAAGATTTAAGAAAATTGTTAAATATGAAAGAATAAGTTACCGTTAAGATTAACAAAAATCGATTGCGGTTTCTTTTAATAATTACAACACTTTTCAAGTTTCGAATATGATTTTTTTTTGTGGAAAATCCCCCTTTTATTCCTAATTATCCCAATCAAATCTATGTTTGGAGTTGTAGAAATGATTTAACTTGTAAAAAAATTTTCTTCGCGTTCAATTCTACAATTACATGTATTATGCATTTATATTCATTATTCAATAATTCTAGGTTGAGATATGCTGAGTTCTGAAGAAGTTATATGAATTTAAATAAAGAAATGTAAACATGCTAATACACTAGATAATAGCTTTCAGGAGTCCTTCAGGCATTCTTTCAGAACAATCTTCTCATATTTGCCTCCCAGTGTGTAAACAATCTTTAAATTTTCAATCAAAATTCTTTTGAATGTTTCTTGTGTAAATAAGTTCACTTATTAGATAACCAGCTTATTCACTAATTAGCTCACCACAGCTTAGAGAACCTAAGAGAACTCTACACCAGTGTATTTATGATTATTTATGAAGATTATTCAGGGTTAATATGACCTGCAGCTTTATAACCTCCCTACTCTGGAACGAGTGATCTAAAAGGAAAATTCATAGAAAAATATTTATGGAAAAATTTGATTTTTTTTTCTATAAACAAACGTCATAGTTATAAGATTACAATGAATAAAACAAAGAGGTAATATTAAAAAGGAGGACGGTACACGTAATTTCGAGCTACTTTCCATATATAGAGTGGCATGTTTACATTATATTAGCCTACAGTCCATTTAAGTTCATAATATTATTTATGCCAATTTATGTTAATTGCTAACCAGATCAAGTTTCAGTCCTGTTATGGTTAAGAATAGAGCCTATCTCCGTAGCTCAGGTCTATCTAAACTCAAAACTTGCTGAGTTTGGTTAAATATTGCTGGGAATATGAAAAGTTCTTTTTTCGAAGGAAATGGTTGTGATGGCAATCTTATCATAGATGCCAATCAAATGAACAAGTTGACTATCGCATCTAAAATTTGGCGTTACCTGTTGAGTTAACCGTCTAAAGGAGGGCCTAGATATACCATAGAAACCTCAGTGTTACCGTACACAGCAGATACAGACGGATACAGCTGTTTATCTGGTAATCCTGGAACATAGGAAAGATACAGTACACTGTATACAGAATGATACAGCTGTTTATCTGGTAATCCTAGAATATAGGAAAATACACACACAGTACATACAATATATACAGACGGATACAGCTGTTTATCTGGTAATCCTGGAACAGATACAGTACACTATATACAGAAGGATACAGCTGTTTATCTGGTAATCCTGGAACATCTAGGAAAGATACAGTACACTATATACAGAAGGATACAGCTGTTTATCTTGTAATTCTGGAATAAAGTAATGGATACACATTACACTATATTCAGACGGATACAGCTGTTTATCTGGTAATCCTGGAACATCTAGGAAAGATACAGTACACTATATACAGAAGGATACAGCTGTTTATCTTGTAATTCTGGAATAAAGTAATGGATACACATTACACTATATTCAGACGGATACAGGTGTTTATCTGGTAAGCCTGGAATATAGGATAAGATACGGTACAATATATACAGACGGATACAGGTGCTTATCTGGTAATTCTGGAATAATACACATTACACTATATTCAGACGGATACAGCTGTTTATCTGGTAATCCTGGAATATAGGATAAGATACGGTACAATATATACAGACGGATACAACTGTTTATCTGGTAATTCTGGAATAAAGGAATGGATACACATTACACTATATTCAGACGGATACAGCTGTTTATCTGGTAAGCCTGGAATACAGGATAAGATACGGTACAATATATACAGACGGATACAACTGTTTATCTGGTAAGCCTGGAATATAGGATAAGATAAGGTACAATATATACAGACGGATACAGGTGCTTATTACTCAAACCTAAGTTCTTTAAAAAAGAACAGTAGTGTTAATAAAAGAGATTTACATTACCTCTAAATGCAACTCCTAAAAATTCATAATTTCTCTCAAATGCGAGGGTGTTATCATCACAGTCCAGTATAACACGTATTCTCTCACCAACCTGAAACCAATTTTCCCGGATTTGTTGAATATTTTTCATGGATTTCTAGGTTTTTAAGGATTTTTAGATCAATTGAACCAGGCAGCTTTTTCGATTGGTTTATACTGGTTTTATTACGTCTTGATTTCAACACAGCATTTTTAAAAACTATTTTAATGTATTTAATCCATTTCTATTCCGATCTCCTTAATTTGCTTTACTTTGAATAAAAGATAGATATTTTCCTGCTATATCTAGTTTATTGATCTTTACCCAAGGAGCATGGAATATAATGGAGAAGGAATCGACCCGGCCCGCCCTACCATAAGATGATACAATATACGTGCTTTGCAGACTGTACTTCAATTGACCTTTACTGTCTGATGTACAAATACCGCGTACATGTATTCAGAATAGGTTGTTGTGTACATTAAAACAGGGGGGAAAGTACGCAGAATAACGCCAAACAAAACTTTGTTGGAGATGAAAAATCATTGGCCATACAAGCGCATTTTTTATAATATAAAAATTGGCTTTGTTTTGTTTAATATGGTTTATTAAAAAACAGTTAAATATTAAAAGACTACCTTTAAAAACTCTTTTTCAAATGGAGTACCGGCAGCAAAGCTTGTATAATCATAATTGTAAAATCGATTCCTTCTCCCTTATATTACACACTCCTTGGCTTTACCTGATATTTGGGTGCATTGTTTAATTGTGGATAGTTTCCTTGTGAATCTCCATTATGTAGTAGATGGTTGTCTACTAGGTTCCAACCCCAGCTCTGCTCATCACTACCTAGCAGAGCTACATAACCATGACACTGGTTAGGCGCCTCTTTAGTAGCAATACCAATAACCGCGACAGTACCTAGGGGTCCTTCCCAGATTACTTCCCAGGCGTGCCGTCCGCTTCTAAAGCCAATTTTACTTCGGGCTCCGTCTGTACTCTGTGCTACGGGGTTTCTATGAAGGGTAAATCCGTTTGGTTTCACGTAAATATTTCGCGAACAGTCGTTCGGATTCCATGCATGATAAAATGCGCGAAGTTTGGCTTTATAAGTAGGGACCGATGTGAGGAGCTCGGATCTGAGTGCTTCTTCTGCAAGTTTCCGGATACAATGCATTCTCCAGACATCGTTGTTCTCGTCATTCAAGAACCGATACCAGTTCTTACAAACTGAATAAAACGTATTAAAATATCATTGGGAAGCGTTAAATCGTTGAAATAATCGATACCGAAACCGAAACCAAGGGTAAAGAGAAAAATGGTGGTCTGGGGTTCCACAATGAGGATAATTTTATGATCATTGTTATTATCATTGTTATTATTATTATGTTTCCCGACTCTAAGTGTATGACTTGAGACACTCTAACATCGACCTGCTATAAAGTTTTTGACAAAAACTAAAAATAAATCGGTGGAAATGGGGGGTTTAACCCATTTCGGCTTTTGATTAACAAAAACTACATCACAATTCAGGCCTGCATTCAAAAAAACAGAAAACAATCACTAGATACGAAGTGAATGGAGATGTGGACACTGACCATTCCGCTTTGTAAAAAGAGTTAACATGTTAAATTTAAAAAATCAAGTCAATAAATCCTACAAAGACATAATTTTATAACATTACCTAGAGAACAATTTTGAAGATCGGGGAGTTCAAGAAAAGCAAAAACTGCTTCCAATACATTGTCTGGAAGTTTTGCAGCTTCCACGACCATGACTGAAATCATAACTATATTGTATTAAGTGCTTGGACTCCGCATCCGGATTTCGGCTAAAATCCAGATCCGCAAAAATACTTATCATAAATATAAGAAATACGTCTATGTATATTTAGCAATAGCTTTAATATCAAAATATTCAGTACACACACAGTGCACAATTGCTGTTTTTCATGTCATTAAAAAGTCATATATGACGTCTGAGTCTGAAGTAGAAGACGCTTTATGGGCTCCACTAATAAATAGAACATAATAATGTTTATTTAAATAAATATCATCCTTAAGGCTTAAATAAATATTTATAATAACAAGTGCATTTTGTAAATAAATTGCATTTAAATTACCTAGTAACTTTCTTCAACTCCTTCACAAGGTCTTAAAATTCAATCTCATTTCAGTCTGAAACACACTGAACACTTTGGAATAAGTATTTAAATTATCAGAAAAGCAAACTTTATTCTTGGATCTATTTCTGGAGCATTACATTACAGGGACAGACATGTTTTTGTCAACTTGTACAAAATCTATGTCCGCCCTCACCAGGAGTTCTGCACCACCTGCCTGGTTGCCATGGACTGAATCTGATTTCTGGGCTCCATAGTGAATCTTATGATGAAAAATTGAAAGAGTTAAACCTGCTTTTGCAAAAGGAAAGAAGAGAACGTGCTGACATGATACAAACATTCAAAATACTCCAAGGTTTCAGTGATGTAACTCCAGAAACTTGGTTTAGCCGGATCAATCATAGCCAAGTTACTAGAAACAGAGCTGAAAACTTTAGAATGGTGGATATCAGGATTAATGCTTAATCCACTCTTTTTCTTAATTTCCAGATTAAATATTGCTTATACTCCTCATGAACTTAATCTCCAGATTAATTAACAGATCGGGATTAAGGATATCCCATTCAAAAGTTTTCAGCTCAGATCCTTTAAATCATGAAATCCAGATCTCCAGAACAAATGTAAGAAGTAATTTCTTCCGTGGTTGGGTAATCCAGAAAATGGAACTTGATTCCATCAGACATAAAAAAATCTTTTGTGAGTTTCTCCAAAAGAAGTTACGACGAATATAGAAAGAATCCGTGAGCTGCTGTAAAAACATTCAAAACTGAGAAAAAACAAACCAGAAAGAAAAATCAACAACTCAACAGTCAACAAAATCATCCTCATAATAACTCTAACTGAGTTCCTGAGAAATCATCAACAATAAACAATTATAGTACTTACAAAAAAGGGTTTTCTTAACCTTACGCCTAGTTTGATTTTATTTGTAAGGGTATTACTCTTTTTTGAGGTCTGTCCTAAAAAACTTTTTGTAATTTCCTAGAGAACGATTTATGGACCCCCCCCCCTTCCTATCAATTTTGTACATGGTTATCATTAGCCTAAGAGCAAAATTTTGGGCCTAATTTAAACTGTTTAACCATGAAACAGCTAATTCATAATTTATTGCTACTTTTGATTCAAATATATTTCAATATAAATATCTGAATGGAAAATTAATTCATCCACCCGCAATCAATTTCCATTAAAATTTCGTAAATCCACGAAATTGTTTTTACAGAATCTGCAAACTTCTTTGCTTTTGTTATATGTGCATAAAACAACGAGAAAATGTTCACATGGTCTCCGTATCAGATATTAAGCTGATAAGAACAGATACCAGTAATTTGGTATCATGAAATAAACGTCTATCAACCAATCAACAATTCAAAATGTTCACAATTAAAATAGAAGATGGCGCGAAGTGTCCTGATAACTAATAAATTGTAATATTCATTAGCATAAAATCCATAATCTGTTCCAGGTTCTACCCAAGGGAATAGGTTCAAATACGTCTTAAAACTTAAGTTTACTATCAACCTTGACATTAAGGCCTGTGAAAAAATTTCACTCATGAAGTCATTTATACTAATTAGCCTAACAATACCTGGCTGTTTTCTTTATATCAATTAAGATCAACAATTTTCCTTCGGATCAAAATTAGGCCCACAATATCCTTAGACCCAAAGCAATTTCATTCGGGCTGTTTTCTCGTTTTGGGCTTAAGATTCGGGCGTTAACAACATCGTTGATCATTCAAACTTGTTTATGATTTTCTTTACAATCCATTCTTTTCCGAAATGATTGTACAATAGAGCGCGGCAAAATTGTCTAAGGATACAAAAGGTGTCGCAGAATCAGAACTAATGTCAATAATTTGTATTTTGATGTATTTTAGATCGCAACGTATGGTTGGATTTGAATTAAAAATATAAATAATGATTGAAGAAAAGTTATGGTAAAGGATAATTGTTGCAAAATTAAACAATTCATGACTTAAACTTTAAGTCATTATAATTGCAAACAGTTTTTTGTACACCAATTTGAGACCTTTTTATTCATACGTACATAAATGATCTCTATTAATAACAAAAGTTGTACTTCAACCGTGTGTTTTTTTTGGATTGAAGTGAAAACAGAAAGATAGATTTTTTTGTCAAATTTTCAAAGTACTGATGATTCAAAGTTCTGTTGACATATTTTCAAAACTAAAAATGAAGATATTTTTGAAAAAGTGGCATTTTCACATTCTAATATGAATAAAAAACTAAAGATATATTTATCCTTATTTTCTTTGTAATTTAAATTTTCAATAAAACTTTAACTCGTTGATGAAATGGGGTCTTAAGTTTTTAAATTTCGGAGTGTTGAACTTGTAATGTGGGTTAGTTTAAACCCAGGTAGAGACTTCGTACTCGAGTTCGACACATCAGGCAACACAAACAAATAAAAAGTGAAGTAGAGAACATCCTCATTGATTTAGTGCTATGCAGCAAACAATTATCATGTATTGTGTTATTTCATATTAAAGATAATGTTTATTAGACTTTTAAGTCGTATGTTTTTTTTGAAAACATAATATTCAAATCTTCATTTATAATTTAATAAAAGCTTGTAAATGTCAAAGAAGCTTCTACAATTTTGTATTCAATCTTCTGTTTAGTCAAATTTGATGTTCATCACGTTCAATTATGTCAATTTTTAGTGCTGATGGCGTTCTTTAACACTACATCTAAAATGATTTCACTAAGTTATATTTTATATTCTTCATAGACTTAACTTTGATATGAAGGTTTCACTCTTTCCTAACTTCAAGGATGTTTTTAAAAACGAGTAATAAATTTCTCTTTCAAACTTATATGCATGAAAAACTTTACAAATATTTACAAAATGCTTCTCGCATTTACTCACTATATCATAGTAAATTTAGACTAATTACATTTTTTAACAATTTTGAGATGTGGTCTTATCATAGACTTAACATGTATCTGACAAAGACTTTTTAAATAGAAGACATCTCTTCTAGGATTATGCATAGAAAACTGTACCATTGGCCAGGCGCGCAACTAGACATTTAGATAAGGGTGTGGTCAAAGGGGAATTTTTTCTTGCCCCCCCCCCCCCGAAGCATTTCTAAGGGGGGGAGGGCAAGAAAAAATTTTCATTTGCAACCATGAATAAAATTACCTTACCAATTCAGGATATTTTTGGGGCACAATTTTTATTAATTAGGTGCGTTCATTCAGTTTGCGGAAAATCTGTGTGTGAGAAACTATATTTATTTAGTTGGGGGAAAATCTTTGTGGGAGAAACTATATTTATTTAGTTGGGGGAAATCTTAAATATTTGTTCTGAAAAATGTTGTAGTTGAATTTGAGTTTGCTTAAAGAGTGAAGGTTTAATTTTTTTTTTACAAATTTTCGAGAAAATTGGCTCTTATTGGAACTACCTTAAAGGTCTTCTTCCTCCCCCCCTACAGCGGGGGCAATCTCTCTTAATTGGGGCATGCCCCCCTCAATAAGGCTAGAGGGGGCCTGGCCTCCATGCTTCCCCTCCTAGTTGCGCGCCTGCAATCGGCTTAATTGCATGCAGAAAGTAAAGATTTCTTTGAAAGTATCTTTCAGGTACTTTAATATGATTTGGGTGCTCTTAAAATCTAGCTCTCATCCACAATTATGAACAGGATAAAATTATATGACTGATTTGTAATGTTTTCAGATTACTCTGGTTTAGCTTTAAAATGACAACAGCTGCACGACCAACATGGGATACTGCGAAGGTTAGCTATTTTTAACCTAACTTGAACTTTTTATGATTCTCCCCCCATACACAGTTTTTAAAATAAAAAGCGTATATATTTGGGTTAAGAATCATTTCCCCTTTCTAAAATCATGGATGATTTTAAGGAGGGAAACGAACTCAAGGATAACAGTGCGAAAAAGTTGTGAACACTTGCCGTATAGCTGTCAAATTTTACATTTTCACCAGGGGGGGGGGGGGCTCTTCGTAATATATTCTCCTGGCGGGAGGAAGCAATTTCTCCAAATCTTAGGAATCTAAAAATAGGACTTTTTTATTTTATCCCTTTTTCTTTAACAATCTATATATGTACATTGTGCAGGGAGGAAGCAGTTTAAGAGAAAGGGATTTGTCTGCTATGTCTAAACAGTACAGCAGCAGAGATCTCCCGTCCCACACCTCCTTGAAGACCAGGGAACCCGGACAGGGAACCCAGGAGGAACACAAGAATAAGGATTTCAGGAGGGAGCTCGAGGACAGGGAGAGGATTGCAAACAGGTAGAAATAAATCAAAGGTGCATTTTTTCTTGACAAATAACCCCCCCCCCCCCTCTTTTGAAAATCCTTTTTCCCACAGAAGCTAAGTATGTTTTTAGGATTTTATTCGCAGAATTGGGGGATAATCATCAAAACTTATTTTCCCCCTTTCCCCTGGGGGGAGGTAATTTTGAAAATAGACGTCCTTGTTTTTTTATGCGAGGGGGGAGGGGGCCCGGCTCCCTTTGTCAATTGAAAGTAGATGACGTTTAATATGCTTTCGAACCGTAATACTCATAAGTTATCACTGTTAAATGATTTTATTAAATATTTAAAAATATTGCTACTCAGGAAAAATGCCTTAAAAGAATGATAATTTGAGAATTTAATTTCCATCCCTACAAAAAAGATTGAAAAAAAAATAATTTTACTACCTTAAACTTCGTCATTTAAGTCTCACAAAATAACACAAGCAGATGTAAAGGCTTTAATTCATATTTTTGGTTTACTTAATAAATGTTAATGTTACCTTACTTATTATTTTTTAGAGAACGAGCGAAGGAGAAAGCCAGAAAGGAAGGTAAAGCGCTAGACTCACCGCCGCAAATAAAGAAATCGCGCACTGAGGCGATCAGCATGGCTAACCTAGATGCTGACGATCCAGTGGACGACAGTGATAGTGACAGCGGCGACAGTGATGATGACACTGCTATCCTTATGGCGGAGCTAAATAAGATCAAGGCGGAGAAACAGCAGGAGGCGGAGGAAAAGGTAAAAAAATTTATTTCACATTAGCTGGTTATTTCCCATGTAATGTAAGCCTTGAAAAATCTGTCTGATTAAATATGAATTAGATATCAATGTTAATGATTTGGAAAACTAATTGTTTTCAATTGTGGTTCTGCACAAGTGACTTGTGCATTTCCAATAATACTTTCAGGATTTCAATATTAAAACTTGGTTAGGGAAACGATAATATCTTCAGCATTATTAATCAGATCAAGGTTTTAAGGGTACTATTGTAAATCGGGCATGGCCATCGTTTGGATGGCTGAAAATTAAATATTTCAGTATATATGTATTTATAGATTATGCTAAAAATAAAAGTTCACAACATCTGGAAATGAACATATGCAATATGCATTTTGCAGTATACAAAATTCTAATAAGAATAATTTCTCAATAGTGTCTCATCCTCATAACTATGGACTATCTTATCTGTGCCTTATGATCTTTACACATAGTTTAGTGCGTCCAAAGTTCTTTCTCAATACTGTTGTTTCAATATGATGCCTCAATTTTAGTTTTAACAATAATATTTCTTTTCTTCATTTGTGTTGAAACTTATTTTGCAACCGAGAATGTTGAAAAATGTTTGACACATAATATGAGGGACACTCGAATATTTTTGATAAAATATTAATTTTTTTCTTTAATCTTACTAGGAGATGGAGAGACGCGATGAGGAGGAGAGGATCCGGATGGAAAACATTCTCTCAGGGAACCCGCTCCTCAAGGAGAAGTACGCCGAGGCCGCAAAGTCCGACATGAAGATTAAACGTCGGTGGGACGACGATGTTGTGTTCAAGAACTGCAGCAGGGCGGAGCCGGACAACAAGGAGCCCGCCTTCATCAACGACAGTCTTAGAAACGAGTTCCACAAGAAGTTTATGGACAAATATATTAAGTAAACGGTTGAAGACCGGATCCCATCGTTGTGTAATGTTTTTGTTCCGAGTTTTCTTTCATATAAACCACTAAAATAAATCTTGTCATTTACTTGTATTTTGTCAGTTAAAAGTTTAAGAAAGATGACATCATTTCACTTGTAGAGGGTTCACATAAATTCTATATTTGTCTATTAGCGTTACATAGTTACAAATACCAATTCTGAATAAAAGCAATTTTTCATTTTTTATAGTTTGCGAATGTTGTTCCAACTTTGATCGATGAAAAAAAAACATGAACAAATTTTTTAATTATAAAATGAGTGGGTAATGGATGCTATTTGTTCTACACATCATATTCTTAAAATTATAAGTTTTTTTACAGCCTATTTTAGTGATTTCATTTTTAAAGCCTATCTTGACTTTAAGTTGATCAGCATTTGTTAGTATCATTTTTTTCAGAAAGATAGAATAATGAAATCCAAAAAAATCAAATTTCCCGACCTAGATTTCCAAACAATACGTTTCCATGTATTGAATACTATCTTAACAAATTTTTATTGAAAAGTGTGTTCCAAATAATCAATCGGAGGTTTAGGGACTTTCTAGTAGCCACAAGATTAATTTACTGAATCAGGAAGAGATGTGGACTAGTAGCTTTGGAATGTCTAAATGTAAAAGGAAATTGGCTCTTATTTAAGATCACATTTTAACTGCGTTTTTTATACTTCTTTGCTGAGACCTATCACATTATGACGCCTGACATTCTGCTAAAAAAGGATTTTAAAGATGAGGTTGAATACTTTTCATGTAAATTGATATCTGAACAGTGCAAACTTTTTGAATTTTTGAATTTTACAGAGAGACCCATAAAATTGTGGAATAGGAAGAAGACATGTAGGCAATAAGTGTTTTCAATAACTAGAGTCTAAAATTCGTCTTCATATTCCAGAATGTTATGGGTCTCACTGTTTACCCAAAAAATGAAGAGTAAATTGACCTAGTTTATGAAATAGAACTTTCTTCAATCAATCGATGAAATCTTATTGATCGAGTCATCGGACCTTCTTGAGACTTTTGTGGGAAAGAAAATGTTCTTCAGAATGGGAATTAATTCATAATTTGACATCTAACGTAAATGAACATTCGTCACTTGAAGAAAAAAAAATTATATTATTTTACAATTTTATTTATCAAGTAACAGAAAAGTATAGAACAGTGTATAAAACAAAGTTTATTACAAACTCACCAAAATACTGTTGTCTAAAACATGATTATATCAAAAATACTTAAATGCTGAAGAACAACAATGTAAAATATCACAACAAGTGTATGTAACACAGAGTTATTTACAAAAAACAAAACAAAAACTTTTAAAATATTTAGACTTTTTCTCATATTCGCTATTCTAACTATGTCAAATTATTTAATGTCTTTTCAAGTCGTCATAAAGTCTCATTCTTTATGGGTAGCCCTGTATTAAACAAAATCTAAATATTTTTATGTCTCAGTAAACGTTGAGAAGGTAAACCCTTCAGTTTGTATTGCAAGTCTATCCGTGCACCATCCCTTTATCTCCAGTTTCTCCAATATAGTGGAGGGATCAACCTTGCTCCACCCTGGATTCATACTAAGCAACCCGGTCAGAAATCCTTGCAACGCGTCTCTGCTCCCACTGTGCGTGGAGAGGAAAACCCAAACCTGGCCGGGTTTCAGGAGAATAAGATATTTTTTCTTGAGTTTAATGGCAGCGCTCATCTTCTCTAAATCCTCCTCAGTCTTTAGGTTTGATAGAGATAATCCAAATCTTATCTCAGATCTACCAAAAAAAAAGCATTAACAACATTTTAGATAAAACGGAGAATGTTCGTTTCGGAATGATAATCTTGAAGCGTCTCACAGCAGTTTTTTACAGATTACAAATAAATTTTAACTATTTAAAATAAATTTGCAAAAAAAACAGAGATTAATAGAAAAATTCTGTTAGCTCCTGAGGCCGAATTTAAAGAATTTGAAATTATAATCAGTGATTCAAGGTTTGAGCCACCTCGCAATTTAAACCGGTGAAAGGCGGTTCAAATTAATTAAATTCGGCCTCCGTTAAATCCAATAAAAAATGCTACTATGAGGAACTGCGGTATGTATGTTTAGTAGAATTCCCCCCCCCCCCCTTCAATTCAGCTCTGAGCAATATGCGCAAATCTTTTAAACACAGTCATGAGGAAAAAATTTGTTTGTATTTATATTCACCTGAGAGTGAATCCAAATGATTCTCTCAGGTTTCCCTCCTCCACGGAAAGGAGTTGACCGGAGGCGAGGAATTCCTGTAAAACAGCGCGCAATCGTGCCTCGTTCAAACTCGTAAACTCCAGACTACTCACTACACAATACGAAAACAATTATGTCATCGCAGATTAGAGAATTTTCCAACCCCAGGATTCAAGGGGGCACATTCATATATTTGCAGTGTTGCACAATCGCGCTATGAACTGATCAATAATTTTTATTTAAAAATAGCATTAAAAACGAAATAAAAAGCAATTTATTAACTTTGTTTTTCGTGCTCCTGCTTTGTAGTTAGCGAAGATGTGAAGAAGGGTGAGCACACAAAACAGAGGCATGACAAGATCTACAATATTTAATCAAAATTAAATTCATATTAATGTTTAACGAACGAGAGTTTTCAACTAGTACAGGGTTACCCACCGAGACTATTATGATTCCAAGGTCTTCTGCCTTGAATATAGTCTTTTAATGACTTACTTAATGATATGGGAAAGAAAGTAAAAAGCTTAAAATTACAGGGAATCATAAATATAAGGAATTAGACGTATAAATTCCGTACAGTCGTCTCTAAAGTCTCACCTTTTGTGGGTAACCCATTATAATTTTTTTATTAAGGTTCAAAGAATGCATTTGAACCGTTAAATGGAATCATTTACAGGATGAGATTCATGAGATTCATCCTCACTCATCCTCATCCTCATCCTCAATTTGTGCCTGGGTAGATAGTGTGACACCCTGTACCTGGATAGTTAGAGGGACACCCTGTACATGGATAGTTAGTGGGACACCCAGTACCTGGATAGTAAGTGGGAAACCCTGTACCTGGGTAGTAAGTGGGACACCCAGTACCTGAATACTTGTGGGACACCCTGTACCTGGATAGTAAGTGGGAAACCCTGTACCTGGGTAGTAAGTGGGACACCTAGTACCTGAATAGTTAGTGGGACACCCTGTACCTGGATAGTTAGTGGGACACCCTGTACATGAATAGTTAGTGGGACACCCTGTACCTGAATAGTAAGTGGGACACCCAGTACCTGGATAGTAAGTGGGAAACCCTATACATGAATATTGAATAGTTAGTGGGAGACCCGGACCTTGGTAGTTAGTGGGACACCCTGTACCTGGATAGTTCGCTATCCTCGGGAGCATCCAGAGATTGACCAGCAGAGCTAGAAGGTTAACCATCGTCTCCTGGGATCCATCCTTCGCTGACAAATCTGCCATGTTATGATTCTTCGCCTACAGTTAAAATAATCTGATTATCTATCTATATAACACTGCCGTAAAATTTAACAATATTTTGATGATATGACTAAATATTGTGGAATAAAAATTTATATTTATATCATAAGCTAAAATTTTATTCAGATTTATTTACTACTAGCTTTAAATAATAAGTTTTTGAAAATGTAATTGTATAATGTATACCCCTGACCTGATGCTGTGCTACAGCAGCTTTAGTAGCCCCTCCAGCTACACCGACTATACTACGAGACAAGCTAGCCAGGCAGAGGACGGGTAGGGTCAACTCACGGCTAAATCTGATAAGAACCATATCTAAAAAAAATTTAGAAGGGTACCCTTAAAACATTTCATGAAATGTCCATGTTTTTCTTTTTGAAAATTTATTACTTTCCGTTGGAACGTTTAAGGATTTTTCTTGAAGGAAATTTTCCGAAAACTAAAAATGACGATATTTTACAGAATCAGTCAGATGAAGGAGAATTGAAGGCCCACTTTATACTACGCCGACAGTCCCTTTCAGCAATAAATAATCACTTAAAAACTTTTTTTTAGTTGATATTGAAGATGGTTTCCTGGGAGTTATAATCTCCATGAACATTGCAACATCGTTCAGAATATCAGCAAACAGTCTCCACTTCTTACAGTCATAGTCTAATTTCGTTCTAAGCAAATAGAAAAGATTGTTAACGTACAGTGAGAACCAGACAATTTTGGAATAGGAAGTCGACTTTTAGACTCAAGTTATGACATTAAATAGTTAAATGAACTCAATGTACATCAATTGTGCAGTGTAAACAGACCCATTTTACATCATAAGGTATCTAAAAACTAGTTTGTAAAGTTATTTGCTTTGAACAACATCAAATGCGCTTCAGTATTGCTTTAATGTCGTCTTCCTATTCTACGGTTTTCTGGTATGTTCCCCCCCTCTTATGCCAGAAAGGTATAATCAGGTGATATTCAGTCATAGATTCTTCTTACCCACAGCGAGCTGCGAAAAGAATTCTTCCGACCATTCCAGTTCCATCTCTTATCATTCATCTTATATTAATTTATAATGCAATAAACTAATCCCAGAGTTTACCCAAGTGTTATACTTTTGACATATTTTAATTCCTTAATGTTTTTTCCAAATGTCTTATTAAGTGATTATTTAATTTCCAAATCCACAAATATACTTTCAAATGTTTTCATAATAACTATCATTTAACAAGTTGCTTTTTTACAAATCTATTAAGCTAAAACAAAAATAAAAGGTTAAAATTTTGACGGGGCTGTTTACAAATCGAATGTGTGTCTAGGATATAGTTTTCAAGAAATAATTAAAACTTATAATTATGGAATCGACAATTAAAGAATACATTTGAGAAAACAGAATGAAGGTACGGTGGTGTCCAAAATTATGTAATACCGTCTGACAATTCCCGAGATTTGTGGTTCTCACTGTACTGTATGAAAACTTTATCTGCCTGCCTACCAGAACTAAAATCTAAATTCTTTAGGCTTTCAAAAATAAAAAAATAAATCGAAATGTTTTTCACAGGCACAATTTTTTTATTTCTACCAGCAAAAAGCCTGAGGGTTGAAAAACAACATTTTTGGGCCCAATCAATTCTGCCATTTTGACATTTGTTGGATTAAAACAAACAACCAGATAGACAAAGAAGCCAAAATTATATATATGAATTTCCTCATCAACCACGTCAGGGAAGCTGCCAGGGGTGAGGCAGTTTCATCTCCGACCCCAACTCCCTACAATTCAGAATAAAATTTCCATATTTAATTCACAGAGTAAAAAAGTCATCTTACACTGTAAAACAACACTTATTTCACCTAAAAATTAAATTTACATGTGTCTCGTTCTCATGGTTGTATATTTCTGTGAAAAACAATTTCCCCTCCACATTTTAAAGATTATCTTTCCCCATATGTTAGGCATGTTTTTTAAGGGTTTTTTCGCTAAATTGGGGAAAATAAATCAATTTTATACCCTCAACTATCATTATCTATGAAAAAATTGGCCTTAGGTCCAATCTCCATTTTCCTCCCAAGATCATCAAGGGGAGGGGGGTGTACTCCTTGAAAGTATATACCCCTTAAAATTTTAGAATTATACTTGCCTCTAATACAGCAGCAGTAGCCAAACTTCCAGAAATACTGCTTGCAAACGCTTGAACTGTATCCCAACCCTAGCAAGGAGAAATATAACTAGGAAAGTCGATCGTTACTAATACATTTATTGTACCATTTTTTGTGTGCGAAATAAACTAGAATAATAATAATAATAATTTTGATTTTATTTGTTGCGTATAACAGGAGAAAATGATTGAAAACGCATTATGCCCAAGAGCGTAAAGCCCAATAAAATTCACTTCGGGATCAACCAATACCAACGTTCATTTTTCGCGATCATTTCTTTTATGAGCTTTTTATATCTATCATTGGAATGAATATGGGATGGAATATCGCAGTTGGGATGAACCTTTTAACAATCAAAGGTTGGTTTGCATTTAGATTGGATATGGATTATTTATTTAAAATATCGTATTTCAAAAATTAAGATATCATTATAATTCTTTGATAAGAACTTGTAATTAAACCTGATAGTAAATATAATCTCTAGAGACTGTATCCGGATATCCTTCAGGTAGGAATACGGTTCTAAAATAAAGCAGATATTGAATAAAATCTCTATAGTCTGTATCCGGGTATCCTACAGGTAGGAATACTGTTCTAAAATAAACCGGATATTAAATAATATCTCTAGAGACTATATCCGTCCGTGTATCCTTCAGGTAGGAATACGGTTCTAAATTAAACCGGTTATTAAAAAAATCTGACACTGTATCCGGTTATCCTTCAGGTAGGAATAAGGTTCTAAAAATCAACTGGGTATTAAATTTAATCTCTAGAGACTGTATCTGGTTATCCTACAGGTAGGAATACTGTTCTAAAATAAACCGGATATTAAATAATATCTCTAGAGACTTTATCCGGGTATCCTTCAGGTAGGAATACGGTTCTAAAATAAACCGGATATTAAATTTAATCTCTAGAGACTTTATCCGGGTATCCTTCAGGTAGGAATACTGTTCTAAAATAAACCGGATATTAAATAATATCTCTAGAGACTTTATCCGGGTATCCTTCAGGTAGGAATACGGTTCTAAAAATCAACTGGATATTAAATTTAATCTTTAGAGACTGTATCTGGATATCCTTCAGGTAGGAATACGGTTCTAAAAATCAACTGGATATTAAATTTAATCTCTAGAGACTGTATCTGGATATCCTTCAGGTAGGAATACGGTTCTAAAATCAACTGGATATTAAATTTAATCTCTAGAGACTGTATCCGGGTATCCTACAGGTAGGAATACGGTTCTAAGATCAACTGGATAGTAAATTTAATCTCTAGAGACTATATCCGGATTTACGGTTCTCAAATATCAACCATTTAATTTAACCAATTGATTACGTTAACATTGTGGTATTTTACTTTATAAATCCGAAATTTTAATTATTTAAGTGCACCTTTAACAGTTTCAATAATAAAGTAGTATTTACAATTTAAGGTTACAAAACCCCGAGCAAACTTTATTTGATTGATGAAAATGACAAAAATAATTTCAATTATATGGCTATCGGTATCTAATCAAACATGATTACTTCTCGCGTTAAGAGACTGTCGTTGTAATCTTAAGCCTTTTTTTTTTTAGAGAATTCACACAAATGAAAATGTCAGTTAACAAAAAAGAGGATATATTATTCATATGCTAGATCAGACAATGATTATGAATCAAATCAACCAAAAGTCACTTTAAGAATTACGTTAACAGTCTCTTAAAAAGCGGCATTAAATCTTGACTCATAATGATCACTCTGCCAAAGTATAATTTTTTTCCAGAAATTGAAGTATATACATAGTCGTTGCTAATTTAATAGAGAAATATCAGTAACTATCTTCGATCATGCTATATAAGAATAAATCTTACAAAGAGCTTGGCAGTATTATGTTTTCTGGTCCCTTGCCGAGGGTTCCATTTCGTCAAAATAACCGCCAATGAAATCTTCTGCTATAAATAATAATTATAGTCATGTGTCTGAAAATTGGTTTAGAATATGCCGTCAGAATTCAAGATTTCTTGAAAATTAACATCTTTTCATGGAGGCGGAAATATTATTAATTCAAATCAAATCATTAAAAAACACTCAATTCCTGAAACTATTCAATATTCTCCGAATCTTAACCTTAACATAAGAATAAAGGATGGAATAAGCCTGGACGTATTCTCCTGTTTAACTGATACTAAACCCTTCCCCTCCTCATTCTGCCGGTATATTCTCTCATCCTTCTCATTTACATGACATTCTTTAAATATTCTCATCTGAAACAAATCTATTTACAAGACTACACAATACACAAGTTAGGAATTAATATTTATTTTTGTTACTACTTGAACTACAAAATACAGGTTGGATTTAGTTTTTCATGAGATGCTTGGGGGTTGGGTTCATGAAGATCATGCTGGAGAAGGCGGTGACAGTTCCAGCGATGGCAATGACTCCGGCCAGGAGGTGGAGCATGAACTTGGACTGGTTCTTGTCGTGAACCTAAATAAGTTATTTTGTGAGAAACAAGGAGTGTAAATTAGTTGAGAGACCCCCCCCCCCTCTCAAACCATATTTTTCCCCAAATCCACAACTTATAAAAACAGGTATATTTTACTGGTTTCTGTAGCCCGCGCAAACTGCGGCCGGGGGGTGCAGGGGAGCAGAGATCCCCTTGCACAGAAATATTTTGGATTTTAGTAATATAATGGAGCGTTTTCGTGCCTTAAAAAGGTCAACTTCAAAGTCCCCCCTGAGTTTTTTTTTAAGCATTTCTGATACTATTTTTTTTAACTTTGGGTTTTTATTTGTGGTTTTATCCCTTCCCTCTTCCACTTTTCCCTTCCCTTTTAGCCCTTCTCCTTTCCCTCTTAGCCCTTCTCCCTTCCCTCTTGCCCATTTTCCCTTCCCTCTTGCCCATTTTCCCTTCCCTCTTGCCCATTTTCCCTTGCCTCTTGCCCTTTTCTCTTCCCTCTTACCCCTTTTCCCTTCCCCTTCCCCTTCCCTTTTCCTCTTCCCTTCCCCCTTCTTACATTCCCGCTTTACTTCCTTCCTTCTCCCTTTTTCCTTTTTTCTTCGTTTTTTCCCCCCAAGCCCAATGAAAGCTCATACTGCCCCCCCCCCGGGGTGGGGGGGGGGACAGAATATTATACAATCTTGAACTAAGAAACATAGAAAAATTCAAATTCCATTTAAACAAGTATAAAGAGAGAAGTAAGAAATTTCAATGAAAAGCATTATATTAAAATTAACTGTTAACAATTCCAGCTTCACAACAGTACCCACTAAACCATGATCTAAGAAAGATGTAATAATTTATGTATCCTAAATAATGTCAAATTTCTCCCTGGTCTCTGATGCATAACCGACAAGTCAGTGTTCTAGAGAAACCATCAATGAAACTTAAGTTCAAAGAGAACCGTTGTGAATCAATCATGTAAATCTTGAAATAGAGGGATTGGACACTGTAAATAACGCCAGTCAATTTAAAGAAAAATTAATTCTTTAGTTCGAAAATTATAAAAAAAAACCTGTTTCCATGACTCGGTAGGAACTCCTAGTTCATCAATGCTTGGCCTGGCCCAGTTAGCCAGAGCCTTACCCCTCTGTGGGACCTTCAAGAGGGAGCGAGCTGCTAGAAATCCACGGTTCATTCTCTCTGAAATATTAAGAAACGGTAAAAAAAGTCAGTTCGGGAGAACGCTGACGACAAGTATGCGCCAGGTCACAATCTCATTAAAATATCAATTTAATAATATCAACCCCGGGTCATTTCATCGTCAGCTTAAAGGGACTGTCGGCGTAATTTCAATTGACCCTCTATTCAACGCGTGTCATGACCAATTTGCAACAGAGTAACCTTTACAGCTTTTTCTAAGAAACCATGAGTAAAAATATAGTGCTCAAAAACTTAATAGATTCGGACAGTTGTGATATCTCACATGATAAATCCGCAAGTAAAGAGGATATCAAATTTCATCCTGGAATAGAAGATGGATAAAATGATACCATTGTAAATCGGACAGGTCACTTTTTTTTAAATGGGGAGTCACTTGAAATAGCTTATTTATTCCCTTAAATATTTATACATATATAAAATATAAAGCTAATTATCAAAATATATAAATTATAATTATATTATCAACAATCTATCAATCAATAATCAATGTAGTTTGGAATGTAAGAACTGTAAGAATGTAAAAGTGTTAATACTAGATTAAAAATGAAGCTCGTTATTTAGAGTAAAATGTAAAATAAAAGTGATCTTTAAAAGCATCAACAACCAACAAAATAAATGGTTTAAAATTAAAGACAGAAAATTCCAGAAATATGATTCAATTAAGAAAAACATTTTCTCTTAGTATCTGAACATATGCTGCCTGAAGCGTAGTAAACATTATTCCCTTCTCTCCCTAAAACAACAGTTGCAATAAAAAAATAATGAAAAAATATAAAGCAAAAAGATTATTTTTTTGGAATTTCCATAATAAAGGATGCCCATAGCCCAAGACCAAGATCAGATTCAAATTAAGAAGGAAAATTGTCAGTCGACGTAGTATCAAGTTACCGACCTTCATATAAAGAGTTAAAAACATTTTTTCTGAATAACAACCAGAAAATTATGGGTTTTTTCTTCACAAGAACTAAATTCTTCTAATTTCCTTCCTTGTTTTTGCTACACAAAACCGCACTTGAAAATTATCAATATTCAGATTTAAAAATAAAGATATCTACATCATTTTTGTTCAGATAAAGATGTCAAGAAACGTTAGGGATTGAGCATATAACTCTTTGATAATATGGTCACTTAAAACTATGTCGACTGTCCCTTTAAGACGTAATTTATTTGATCCAACTGTATGGTTTTCCTGGAAAAGATAATTTTCAATGAAGTCTGAGAGCATTGCTAGTTCAGCTCCCAGCTGTAGTACCCGGGCTCGGACAACAACATACATACAAACCTGAAACATTGGTTCTTTAAACTAATCTTCCATACAAAATTTTACAAGAATGAGGTGTCCACGAAGAATGAATTGTAGAATAAACTGAACCTGAATTGAAAGTGGAATCAATTGCTACCAATTTTAAATCTATATCTATATCTTCTGTAATAAGAAGTGAGGATAAGTTCAGTAAATTTAGGGGTATAGTTAGTGGGACACCCTGTACCTGAATAGTAAGTGGGACACCCAGTACCTGGATAGTAAGTGGGAAACCCTATACATGAATATTGAATAGTTAGTGGGAGACCCGGACCTTGGTAGTTAGTGGGACACCCTGTACCTGGATAGTTCGCTATCCTCGGGAGCATCCAGAGATTGACCAGCAGAGCTAGAAGGTTAACCATCGTCTCCTGGGATCCATCCTTCGCTGACAAATCTGCCATGTTATGATTCTTCGCCTACAGTTAAAATAATCTGATTATCTATCTATATAACACTGCCGTAAAATTTAACAATATTTTGATGATATGACTAAATATTGTGGAATAAAAATTTATATTTATATCATAAGCTAAAATTTTATTCAGATTTATTTACTACTAGCTTTAAATAATAAGTTTTTGAAAATGTAATTGTATAATGTATACCCCTGACCTGATGCTGTGCTACAGCAGCTTTAGTAGCCCCTCCAGCTACACCGACTATACTACGAGACAAGCTAGCCAGGCAGAGGACGGGTAGGGTCAACTCACGGCTAAATCTGATAAGAACCATATCTAAAAAAAATTTAGAAGGGTACCCTTAAAACATTTCATGAAATGTCCATGTTTTTCTTTTTGAAAATTTATTACTTTCCGTTGGAACGTTTAAGGATTTTTCTTGAAGGAAATTTTCCGAAAACTAAAAATGACGATATTTTACAGAATCAGTCAGATGAAGGAGAATTGAAGGCCCACTTTATACTACGCCGACAGTCCCTTTCAGCAATAAATAATCACTTAAAAACTTTTTTTTAGTTGATATTGAAGATGGTTTCCTGGGAGTTATAATCTCCATGAACATTGCAACATCGTTCAGAATATCAGCAAACAGTCTCCACTTCTTACAGTCATAGTCTAATTTCGTTCTAAGCAAATAGAAAAGATTGTTAACGTACAGTGAGAACCAGACAATTTTGGAATAGGAAGTCGACTTTTAGACTCAAGTTATGACATTAAATAGTTAAATGAACTCAATGTACATCAATTGTGCAGTGTAAACAGACCCATTTTACATCATAAGGTATCTAAAAACTAGTTTGTAAAGTTATTTGCTTTGAACAACATCAAATGCGCTTCAGTATTGCTTTAATGTCGTCTTCCTATTCTACGGTTTTCTGGTATGTGAACCAGAGGCGCAACTAGGACTTTTGCTAGGGGGGGGGGCAATAAAATTGTTGCTCGGATAAAGGTTTAAAGGGTACCATTGTTAATTGGACAGGCAACTCTTACAAAGTCACCAAAAATAACGTCGACAGTCCCTTAAAATAGCAAAGTTATTTAAAATTCTGTTTGTTTCATATCGAATCTAAAAATAGGAACAAACATAATTTTTAGAATATCTTACCGGTAATAAAGAGTCCATACTCCAAGTATGGTTTCCAGTCCCAGCTTGTCCAGTTATTGCCTTGAACATATCAAGGATGACCTCTAACTTGTCTTTGGGCGTAAACTTCATCTTGATCTGCTGCAGAGAGTCTACAGCCTCCAGGAAGAGTTCATCTCTACTGCGCCGGTCAGCGGGTAGATCCCAGTAGCTGATATCTACGTCTAGGAAGGTTAGAAGAGCAGTGTCGGAATGTTTGTTCCATCGGAGTATCCTCACCCAGTATTCTTTATCTCGTTTCTCCTCTCGCTGAATATATAAATGGAATAAGGTTGGATATATAGAGGGGAGAAGGAGAGGAAAGAGAAGAGAGTTTGAAGTTATCATCATTGCTTCGTTTTCCTCTAGGGTAGGATCTAGTATCCAGGCATGGGAATCCAAGGACGGGAGGGACGGGAATAGTTTTCTAACAGAACCATACAAACGTTTAGAGATACTTTCTAGTTCGTCCTTAGCGTGGGGTAACAGGGTGGGATGAGATCTAACCCCTCCATAGCTCATGTTGAAGCATTGAACAAGTTTTTGAACGATTCGACAGAACGGATGAAAATCACAAGTTCCGGCTCTACTCAGATAGTTTAGAATCTCGGTGTATTCGCTCCAGTTAAGCTTATTCGTCTAAAATTAAACAAAAAATAAAACAGACATTAAAAAAAATTTATTGTTTATCGTTTCCTCCTTACCTGTCCAAAATCTGGAATAGTTTCTAGATAATCCAGATCCTGAATACTACAGTTTCCCTCCTCCCTGGCCTTAACCTTTCCCTGGTTTACCAGTATGGCGACCTGTTCCCACGGGTTCTCGGAGCCTAACAAGCCTTCAAACTTGGAGAAGATCGAACCCCATTTCTTGCCACTGTTCACTGTGTTTATCTGAAGTTTATCCCAATTTTGTCCGATCATGGGTGTTCTTGGCTCCTGGTTCTTATAAACAGTTCCGTTGAATTTCATTCCGTCTGAGTAGTTTCCGTGGAACACTCCCTCGAACCTATCCGTACTGGTTGTAAGAATTCCTTTCCCGTTAAACTGTCCGGCTCCGTAGAATTCTCCGTCGTAAACTGCTCCATCTTCAAATATCATTGTTCCGTCTCCGGTGAGTTTATTATGCAGGAAATTCCCTTCGTAGTAAATACCGTCACTATTTACCACACAACCCTTCCCGGTCCTATATCCACCAGACCACATACCCATATACTTCTCTCCAACCATGATATCATCCAGTACTCCGTAACCATGACGTAAACCCTTCTCCCATTCTCCAATATAAACCGACGCTCCCCGGCCCATAAACTTTCCTTCTTTGCGCACACCATGTCCGTGTGGAAGGCCGTCTACTAGACTACCCTCGTATAAAGATCCATCAGCAAGCTTCAACTTGCCGTTTCCGGTCAATTTTCCATGTCTCCAAGTACCTTCCTAAAAACATAAATTCATTCATATGTTTTATCGTTCCTAATTTATTAATTTATTTCAAGAAAATAGCTGGAGTTATTCCTAGTCGTTCCTAATTAAGTAAGACGACTGAAGAAGGGAAAAATTATCCAAAAGTTGACACTTTTGGTGTAAAATAGTGCATATCTACAAACGCAGTTGTTGTTTATCATGCAGTTTGCGACAAGAAAACATACAGAAAGTGAATAAAAATTTGGATTTAAATAAAGGATAAATATACCTTAATAGATCCATCTGCAAGGGTTAAGGTTCCAGCCCCGTGTTGGATTCCATTACTCCATTCACCGCAGTAACAGGATCCATCCGGTAATCGTAAAGATCCTTTACCATGCAACTTTGCCTAAAATAGAAACCTTATATTCTAATTCTCGAAAAACTTATAAAAATATTTATTAAGTTTTGTTGCTTCAAAATATCTAAAAATTATTTCCGAAGTTTTGATTCTTCAAAATGTCGAACCTGAGTCATCGAACCCTTGTAAACTGCTCCCTTGTATTCTCCCCTCGTAAACTCATATGTAACATTCCTCGTGACCGGGGGTAGACTGGACCCGGTTATATTTCTCACAGTGCCGACTATAGTCTGGAGAAATCCTTTCACCCAAACTGCCCGACTCTGAGCACTGAATGCGACCAAGGTTTTGATCTCCTCCGGCATGATAAGAACTATCTCGAACTTATTACCGGAACCTGAATACTTGACATTATTTTTCCACAATCCAGTCGACGTCGATCAATAAAATGAAAACACTTTCGATTTCTAATAAACTTTATACAGCAAAAGACACAAAATCATGGAACCATAGTAAAAAAGTCGTATTCATTGTATTGATTTAAACGCCAACCACTGTATAATAACAAGTTTGCATCTCTAAACTTTCATTTTGAATATCTACTCCGTTTCATTTAGACACAATCAATAAAATTTTAACAAGGGCCTAGTCATCATATTGGCAGTCCTATTAACAATCCATAACCAAACCAAATCATGATGGGACACTCATGGCTTTTATTTTCAAAACTTACTATCTTTGATAACAATTGATCAACCTAGTAGTTTTTTTTCGTTGGAAGGATTATACATTCCGAAGAATGTATACTCACACAATTACTTCTGGATACATTTACAGCTCCATCTTTCACTCTCAAGTGTGTCTCAGACTTTGTCTTAGAGCTATCTGAGGAATGCCAACATTCATTTTAAACCGTGTTCTATCTTTTCTAATTTGAATCCTTTTATTACCACTTTTATCTTTATAGATTTCTTTGATTCCGTCTTGATTTTAACTCGTATACATAAGTACCTTGTCTGGAAGCATAGGAGCAAAATATTGGTCTTTCGGTTTAGAATCGGTTTAAAAATCACCTGTAACAGGAGGAGTATCCAACCAGACCGTGGATAAAGGATGAACTGTTACACTGTATCCTACATCCACAAATACGTCAGTTAGCAGGACTAACCAGTGCTTAGACATCACACCGCTTAGCAACAAGGGTTGGGTTCGATTATCCAACACCAGTCTCCGGGTGGAGATTCTTAACTCATCTAGTTTAGCTCCGGAGGTTTTCCAGAACTCCCTGGTATCTTCAGCTTCTTGTCTCATCTTCAACAAGGATTGCTGGAGTCCCATTAGCCCTTCTATCTTTTTCATCAACTCTTTTCCATCCTCTATTTTGGTATGTAGCTCCATTAATACTTTAATATAATTCTCTGAGAGCTTGTGCAGCTCGACTAGAAGTTGTTCGAGTTCACACTGTCCTTTTATAGACTTTTGATTGTAACCAAACTTTGAGATAAGAATATCTACAATGATATGTTGGTGTTGGGACTGATGTGAGTCAAGGAGAAGAGAATCTGCAGAAACACAATTACCGACGGTCCAGCATATCTCCCTGCAGCACTCCAACCAGGGATCCAGGTACTTGTAGAGACCAGTCGAACCGAATTCATACAAACTTAAATGAATTTGAGAACGGTTCACACAATATGACAAGAAATGTTTTGCTTTATCCACGCTCTTTTGTACATCCAGGAACGGGATTGAATCTTCTCGGTTCTTAGAACCAGGAGTACCGGGGCACAAGGTGGAGAGAGCGTAGGATACGCTTTCGATCTGATCCAGGAGAACCTTCTCCCGAACAATAAGTTTACAAGTATACTTAGACATAGGCTTACAGTTAAGTACTGAGTAACGATCACTGGTGAGCAGAGAGTAAGGACGAATATCCGGGGGTAGATTTAAACTAGAGAACTCAATACAATGAAATCTAGCGTTGGAATTAGAACTGGGTTTTGTATAATAAATGTTCCCGCTGTCACACACTAACATGCTCATATTGTTCTCTGCTAGGATATCTCGAACAGTTTCCGACCTCGGTAATTGTAGTTTAGCAGGATACAGAACCACGGCTAATGAATCCAAAGGATTGCTTTGACCCCTGTTGTTACTTCCCCATGCGAAGACGGTTCCCGAAGCCGTGAGAGCGAGAGCATGCTGAGATCCAGCAGAAACCTTGAGAATATGATGAGAACTCAATGCAGGGACAACCACAGGACTGGGTCTACTCAACATATCTCCTTGTCCTAGCTGACCACGAGATCCATTTCCCCAAACCCAAACTTCACTTCTCCGCAGTTCAACTCCCTTCTCAGAAAGATCTTTTAAGCTTTGATCTTGCAAACTTAAAATTCGTTCTAATCCAGTCCCGTGAGAAGATGTAGAGCGTCTAAATAATTAAGATTAAGATTTAAGTAGTCTTATCCCAGAAATATCAATGTATTTTACCTAATGGAAGTTTTAAAGTTTAAGGTTTTAGAGAACGGTTCATTGAGGATAACAAAATCTTTCATTGAGGGGATATCTGACGATCTCACGGACGGAGGTTCACTTTGAGACTTCTCCTCTAGAACCACATCTCCGGGCCGGGTTGGTAATCCCAGATCCTCAACCTGGTTTTCTGACAAAGGGTGCATAATACTGCTCTCACTACTGTTAAATGAAGAGTCTGTAAGTTGGCTAATATTAATAGCATTGCTTTCACTGCTATTGTCTAGGATTGGAACTTCAGTTAACACAGCGCTTCGTAATCGTCTCCGTGTCTCAGTATTTTTAGGTTCCGTAATATTTCTATTGTAATCTGTATTGATGCTGAGGTTAAGACTGAGTCCAAGGGGACAACTAGGTCCGTCAGGTTCAGACAGAGATGTATCAGGGTCCGGGATATCAGGGGAGAGAAGAGAATCATCAGATTTGACTATACAGATACTGAAATCAGTACCAATCTCCACCTGGAGCAGTTTCTTACCGGAGAAGAACGGAACCTAAGAATTAATATTCTATTTAAAAAAGGAAGAGAAATTCGAATGAGAATACAAAATAGAAGAATAATACGTAAGAAACTGAAGAAAAAAAAACATGTTATATCATGTTTCTTGGTCAAACCTCCATTGAGAAAGGAGAGAATGAATTGTGAAATTTTATTAACCCTGTTTATTTTTAATTTACCATGTTTGTCAACTCAATTGAAGTTTAAGCGAACCGGAAGTTAAAAATAATAACAGGAAGCGGGTGAATAAATGAAACTTTAATTCAGTCACAATATCACAACATGATGGGTTTCTTCCGTAATTTGCTTATATTCATTATGTGCAACCCCTCAATAAATGAAATTCGCGTCCTCATTGCCCTTCATAAAGACGCATTCAAATCAACATACTAGGTCTATGAGAATAAAGGTTTGTCTATTTCTCCACGGCAGTTTCTTGAGTTGTTTTATTTAAATATATATTTACCAACCTTTTCAAATAGTTGAGTTTGATGAACCAGCCCACTATAAGGTACTGAACCTTTGCTCCAGACATGTCCGGAGCTGTCGGAGAAGAATTCATGTTTCTCGTTCCCAACCAGGTTCAGTAATCCATCTCCGGGATATTCAACCTCCTCCAAATCCAGACTACTCAACGATACCTAAATTTAATTAATAGAATCAAACATTGTACGATACTGTTTATGAACAAAAATATTCGGGAACTCGTTAAAAATTATAAACGTCATTTGGATAAACCTTCGATTTAAGTTACTATATTGTAAAGAAATTCAACACTTTTCGCAATTTATAATGTTTTCAACGTTTAAAATCGCCCATTGATCCCTTTCATTATTGCATTACTACAATATTAGCGACCAACCTTATTCTTTCAGGGGTGTATATTTTCTTCCTCCCCCTTTTAAGATTTTTCCGCCCAGAAGTTATATACGCTTTTTACTTAATCCCACCAAATCATTAAAAACCATTCCCCTGAAAAAATCCTGTATTCTTTTTAAACTTCACCATCCGGTCATACGGAGTAATGAGAGTGGGGGCCATGTATTCTACATTAATATTTTATTATAAATGTATGGAGGTTCGTAATACTTGTACTTCATTGGAATTGGGAATCTTCATTTTATAAACCAACTTCATAAAGAAAAAAAACAATCACGATTCAAAGATAATGGAATACAATTTGGAGTTAACGGTTCGGAAATTGTTATTATAATAGCTCACCCTGTAAACAAGACCGGTCTCCACTAGGCATATTAGTTTGTGCTCAGGTTCATTTTTCTCCTCTTTATCCTCCTCATTAGACCCGTCTGCAGAGACTGGTGGAGTCTCCAAGCGTACACTGAGAACAGGTTCAAGCTCGGGTTCGGTTTCAAGTGCGGAAACCTCTCCATCCCTCCACAGAACTATCTTTCCATCCTAGAGAAAGAAACACGTTTTCATGCATCTTGTTTTCGTAGATTGTGTATATCATTATCAGAAATATTCACGCATACGGAGTACTTTTTTTAAAGGGGTGAAGAGTAGCAAGTGATCTGTTGTTACAGGGGTATATATTTTCAAAAATTGGGAGAGAACATAAGAAATTACAACAAAAAGTAAGTTTTTCATTTTCAACCAAAAATTCATTTCTTTTTCCAAATTTGGCGAATAAAAACTCTACAAATTACACGCAAACATACATAACATCTGTGGGGAAAATTCATAAAGGGGGAGATGATTTTTCAAGAAAATGTACACCCGTGTTTTGTACCTTTTTTACAGTTTAAGCAAAGTAAATATCGTAGGACTGAAATTAGGATAAAGATTAAAAATATCCCTCAACCCTTGCGACAGCCGTTAGAAAAGTACGTCCTAGCGATTAATTGAGAACTAACGACCAATTCAAAAATAAAAATAAAATTACGTTTCATTTGCAAAAATAGTTAAAAGAATACATTATTATCAAAATCAATCAAGGCAATTATTAACTCGGGTGTTATGGAGAGGAAGAAAAAATGCTTTCTAAGATTTGCTACAAAGAAATACGAATTCCTGCAACGTACATTTATCTCAAAATAATATTGAAACTTTATGTGATACGAATTAGCCTCAACAAGATTATTATAAATTGTTCCTTTCTTTTTCGTTTTTTTTTACTCAATGATAGTTATATCTGATCATGAACAATTTCAGTGAGGAATACAAAATGTAAATTTCAATGAAATATAAGTCTTCTTAAATCCGAAATATATTGAAAAAGATCAAAACAGGAGGAGGGGGGGTAGTACCTCCGTTAAGAGAACAAGTTGAGCAGGCAGGGATATAACAGTTCTAACAAGGTAGGGAAGAGAGAAGATGGGTTTTCTTTCTACGGAGGGTAAACCCTCCCATATACTACTCATCTCAACCTACACCACCCGTATACATTTCAACTCTGAAATAGATTAAGTAAATGTTTGTGTACTTAATCATATTGACTATATAAACAAAAGATTGACAATGGAATCAAAACTGCGAGTGCTTTATCAAATATTATATCCTGTGGTTTTGATTTAATCAAAAGGAAAAAAGATTAAAAATAAATATTGCATTTATTTAGATTTAAATGGGGTTTAATAAAAACATTATTCGTTATTCGTTTATGTTCTATATTTAACAGTTTCTGAAGTTATAACAAATTACTGTTGGGTGAGACCGAGCTTGATCTTGAGAGACTCGGGCATCTCTGGGGGAGGGGGACGGGGGAGCCTGAGCTGAACCTTGACTCCGTCATAGATGAACCACTGTAGAGCGGTGAGGGTACCAATCATGATAATCCTAGTTCCCAAACCTCCCCATAGTCCCTTGAATCCAAGATCCTTGACTGAAGATCCAATGGTGGCTCCCTTAGCCTTGTTCATATAGGATACAACGGTATCAGCTGGGTGAGAAACAACAGCGCAGAAAACACCAGCAATGTAACCAGCAGCGAATGTAACAATCAGCTGTTCTCCCTTGCTGCACTCAGCACGGGGCTTAGGGACAACATTGGCGTAAAGCAGCTCAACGGTCTTCTCAAAGCAGGCGAACTTCATCATGGTGTAGGGGATCTGACGACCCCAGAGAGGAACAAGTGACTTGTAGAATCCACCGATTCCCTCCTCTCCGTAGATCTTGGGGAGAGCTCCACGCAGGGTGGTTGGGAAGGTTCCCATAGGTGAGGTCTGCATTCTAACCTTGCATGCCTCCATGGGGGAGAGAGCGATATCAGCGAAGAACTCAGCGCTGGCTGAAGCGGCGAGGTACAGGGAGGTTCTCCACAGGAAAGCATTCTCCTCTCCCAAAATATCTCCGTAGACGGATTTAAACACCTCGTAGAACCCGAACTTGCAAAGACCCTGCATGGAGTATCCGATAGCAGTAGGAGCCCAGCCAAGGAAAAGACCCTTAACTCCGGCATCTGCTACGGTAACTTTAAATCCGTTTCCCAGGGACTTGTACTTCTCCTTGTTGACCTGAATAAATTTGTTATATTATGTTGCGTTCACGTTCATTTATATTTCAATTAAAATTTTACTAGTGTGACCATAAATGAAGAATAAGAGTATAATTATTGGAAGTTCCCAAGTTAATAATCGGTAAATTGTTTTTTTTTAAAAATTAAGGAAACAAGAAAACGATTCCGAGGTTGGATACTATTAATAAAGGTACTTAAACAACTTATCTAATGCACTACCGGCCCCAAAACAAGTTTAACTACCATTCAATATTCATTAATTTTGACCACTGAACATTTAAATCTGATTTATTTAAATTTGATTCAAATTATTCTATAAGAAATATTGGGGCAATAAGAAATATACAAAAATTTCAAATTTATGTCTCATGCAATATTCTCAAATTGGAAGTAAAATGAATAATAAATAATCTACCTGAAGCCTACATTTGACCAGATCAAGAGGAGTAACAGCAGTATGGGTGATACCGCAGGATAGAACCCCTCCAAGGGAACACAGGACAAAGTATTTAGTTGAACCAAATTCACAGCTGAGTTCCTCAGTTGCAGCAGCGGACAAAGTTCTCATGCTCTTGTCAGCTGACAAAGGCTTGTTTTTGCTCTAAACTACAATATTAGGAATAATTCAAGTTTTAAAATTTACCATGGCCTTCACGGGGTTGGGGAAAAGTCCACAGAGTCTATCCATTGTCCGGTCTGAAATATATCAGATTAGAAACATGTGTTAAATATAGATTTCACGATATAACACATTTTCACTGAATGCAAATGATTTACAATAAATAAATGAGTTACAATAATTTACAACAAATTCATGATCAATACAAATAGAAAATGCGGCAATTAAATAACTGAACACCTAAAATATATAAAAATGTAAAGATTATCACAGAAAACGAAATAAATGAAAAATCAAATTTTGTTTAAAAATCTGAAGTTTAAATGTATAATAAACAAGATGGTGTGTGTATACTGCAGCGTGAGGTTGGGTTGACTGGAGCAGGGTTGGGAGAATGTCTGCCATCAGCTGACTCCAAGTCCTGCCAGGAACAGCTGACTAGGGAAACGGCATCCCGAAAATCATCCAATACAGAATACCCAGGGCCAGGCAGAAATGGAAAGCTACAGCTAGGCTGCTGAGAAAGCTCAGACTCTGTCTCCGTTTACCGACAAGTTCAAAAATCGAGCTTTCTAATTTTTCTCCAAACGAATTAAAAGAGAAATATCGTTCAACTCTATTCTTCCCTTCGATCCCTACAATATATAACTGTTCTCTATTCTCTAGAACTCCCTCCATTGCTTTACTAAACTCTTCTATATTAGGTTGACGGAGCCAGCCAGTCACCGAGTTTACTATTGTCTCTGTAGGGCCCCCACTATTCACAGCTATAACGGGTGTTCTACAGTACATAGACTCAAGGGGTACAATGCCGAAATGTTCATTAGTAGGAGTATACACAAGACATAGAGCGTTCTTGAGTAACCAAACCTTCTCCGCATCAGACGGAGATTTTAAGAACTCGACTTGCTCTTCAAGTTTTAGCTTTGCAACCAACTGATTAAGCTCTTGAAAATATTCTACATTCTCTTCTACCCTATTATCGTATCCTCCCACCATGACGAGTCTAGTCTCAAGTCTGTTTTCTGCAGAGAGCTGAGCAAAGCTTTGTATTGCCAGCTCCAGGTTCTTCTTTCGTTCATATCTATTTATCGAGAGGAAGAACTGTTTTGGTTTAGCTTGGAGACCCGAGGGCTCAGAACCGTCCTGGTTAAATATTTCAGTACTCAGAGACGGATACAGTATAATTGGGTTCACCTTCGTTAATCGTTGAAATGTGGAACGGAAAACCTAAAGAAATAATTAATGATTAAATTATATAAAAATCTGTAAATATAATTCAAGGCCTACGGCGTTTTAGTTTAAGTTCCTCCATTACTGAATAAATGTATAATGGGGGGGGGTGGGGGATATACTGTAGTAGAGACTACTACCTACTAAACCAGTTTCTAATCCTGAACTAGTCACAGCAACCTTTATCTCTACTACCTGCCTACACACAGACATGTACTTTAAAGACTTTAAACAATTTTCGGAATTTGTACTCCCAATAATTTTCACTTGTTTTCACACAACCCCCTCCCCCTAACTACTTTCCTATTAAATTCTGAGAGTTTAACTTCCTCAACCCTTCTCGTTTCTCTCCGCCTTTCTTTCCATCCTACCTTCTCTCTATCCTTCCTACCTTCTCACCCTCTCTGCTTAGTCATAACTTTACAACCTCTCCGTCCTACCTTTTCACCCTCTTTGTCCTCCTTTCTCACTCTCTCAGTATCCTACCTTATCACCCCTTTCCGTCCAACCTTTACAACCCTCTCCGTTCTACCTTCTTGCCTCTCTCCTTTTATACATTCTAACCCCTCTCTATATCTTCACCCATTCCCTTTCCCCTTAAATCCATTTTACCAAATTTATCCGACCCTGCAATTTGCATGCAACAAACCTTTAGAGATCCCCCCCCCCCCTATTCCCGCATTGTCTTCAGTCTACCTTCCCTTTGTACTCCTCTCCCCCTATTATCAGGACCATCTCAACACACTTGTAACTTTTTTAGTCCGAAAAATGACCGCAAAGCTCGGTCCTTCTGATTCAAGAGGCTTGATCCTAACACCATTTTTAGCCCACCTGAATAATGAACTGGTCTTTATTCTCAAAAATGTTCCGTTAGACCGCAATAAAGTTCTTATTTCAAATTCTTATTGGGTTGTTAGATATTGAAGCTTTCACTTCCTTCTCTTTTTATCCTGAGAACGAAACTTTGAATGAGTCTAATAAGTGCCAAGAATGAACAGTTTCGCCCTCTGTATGTATTAATTAAACCTCCATTTGTCTACCCCTTTTTTCTCGCAAACATTGCCTACTCTTTCACATTCTAAACGAAGCCTTGCAAGTCTTGACAGGAACAAAATGAGATTCATAAGGTGAAACCCCACAAGCATATTGACTCCCCCCCCCCCGTAACACTTCCACGTTACAAAGGAATTCAGTCTCAGAAAGCAACTCTTATTTTCTATCACGTATATCTTTGCAGCCCAATGTCGCCTAACTATGAATTCTGTTTGATAAAATAATCTAAGTTTGAAATATCACAGGTTTACACCACAGGTTGCAAAGACCTAGGAATTTTTAAAGATTTAGTTAGTGGTAATTCCTTAGAATATTAATTGTTTAAACGGCCTATGGTTCATTATTTATTACTAAAAATAGGATTAAAAAATACTATTGGATTAATTTCAGTTGAAGTTTTTTAAAAATGAGTTCAGCAGTCGTACGTACCTGTTTAGTAAACCCACTGTTAACGAAAATAACATCGGCAAACCCAGTTGAATATTCTTCCCATCGATCCAGAGGATACCGATACAGGGCCTAGAAAATTTTAGTTTTAAAATTTGTTCCTACCCAATTCATGATGTTTCTTTACTCTGTCCAGTGTTCATACCATGTTTAATGTCCTTTGTTCAATGTTTCATGTTTAATGTCCCATAATGTCCCTTGTTTAATGTCCCATGTTTACTGTCCCATGCTTAATGTCCCATAATGTCCCATAATGTCCCATGATCAATATCCCATGATCAATGTCCCATGATCAATGTCCCATGTTCAATGTCCCATGATCAATATCCCATGATCAATGTCCCATGATCAATGTCCCATGTTCAATGTCCCATGTTCAATGTCCCATGTTCAATGTCCCATGTTCAATGTCCCATGATCAATGTCCCATGTTCAATGTCCCATATTCAATGTTTAAAACTCCTTGTCTATGCCCCTAACAGTAAAAATGCTGACTTTCTCCCCCTAAAAACTAACGTAATTTAATCGAGGTTCCGAGATTTTATTTCTTTCAAAATTTTGAGTATGACGTCAAATCTCTTGGCATGTTACTGACAGCCCAGGGGTAATATGAAACAAAAATAACACACGTCCATTTTAAATCTCCATCTTGGAATAAATCATTATTCGACATAAATCATGCGGTTCGCTGAAATAGTTAGAACGGATATCAAAATATTCAAACCTTCCAGCCAAGGGTGAATTTTGAAGAATACCCCTACCCGCCTATCCGAAGGGAGGATATGAATAACAAATGGGAACCCCCCCCACACACACGGTTTATTCTCATTAAAAAAAATCATTAAATTTCGATAATTCAGCAAATAGCGCGAGAATGTTCATAAAATACAGGGATGCGACCTTAGATACAACTTGACGGCATTTTTTCAGTCTTCGTTATTACATTCGTATTTTACAAAAGCTGTAAACTTACTTTCTCCTAAGTCAAATAATTTCATATACACATTTCAAGACGGTATTTAAGGCAGAAATTATAACTCAACCATTTATCGTCAATTAAAAGAGTTTTAGGTCCTCATTGAAGTCTCATCGCAAAAATTGTGAGTAACAATGAACTTCAAAAATAAAGATGTTTGAAGAGAGTGGGGGCAATAAAATATATACCCCTGCCTTACCTTTAACCCTGTTCGTCCTGAAGTGAGCAGTAGGTCGGGGAAGTGACAGTAGAAGAGGGTTGGATAATCCATGAAATAAAGGAGAGGGAGGGGAGTAGATACCTAGAATACAAACATTTGGAATTATCATCATTACAGGCATGATACTAGAAATAAGAAAGGGAGAGATAATTATTATAAGGGTTATCCATGGAAAATCGTCATTTCATTATTACTTATCAAACTAAAGGGGATGGTAGAGATAGCCCAAGGAGGGGGCTGCCATTATTTTTGGTTAGTCTTCCAATTTTTTGGCTGCACGCCTAATTTGTAATCGAAATTCCAAAAAAAAAATGAATTTTAATGACCTCTAATGACCTCTAATGACCTACGAATGACCTCTTATGAACTCCATAAATAGAAAATATTTCAACTATGGCTTTATGCACACCAAACGAAAGCTAGGAACCCAGGGAATAAAGTAGCATAACAACAAATCCAGTGTTTGACCTTCTAATAACCTCTAACAACCTCTAGTGACCTAAATGACCTCCAAAAATTTTAATGTTTTAACTAAGGCTTTATGCATATCAATTAAAAGCTAGTAAAACAGTAGCAGCAGCGAATAGTTAAACATTTTCATTTTTGGAGGTCATTTAGGTCATTGTAGGACATTAGAGGTCTTCAGATGGTCAAAAACTGGATTCGTTGCTGCTACTGTATTCCCTGGGTTCTTTGCTTTCGTTTGATGTGCATAAAGCCATAGTTAAAACATTTTCATTTTTGGAGGTCATTTAGGTCATTAGAGGTCGTAAGAGGTAATTAGAAGGTTAAACACTGTATTTTTTGCTTCACTGTATTCCCTAGCCTAGCTTTCGTTTGATATGCATAAAGCCATAGTTGACATATTTTCTATTTATGGAGGTCATTAGAGGTCATTTAAATTCAATTTGATTTTCTTTTAGGAATTTCGATCACTAATTAGGCGTGCAGCCAAAAAATTGGAAGATTTGAACCAAAAATGAAGGGAGTCCCCCCCCCCCCTACATCAAATGGGACATCTCCAAAATCCCCTTTTAAAACAAAATGTATCAAGTATAAGAAACTCCAGTACATCGTTCTTATTTGGAAAATGGATTTTACATCGTGGATAGAATAACTTCAGTATGGAAATTAATTGCGAAATATTAATAGAAAAAAGGCCAAAATTACTTGACATTAAAAGGAAAATTGTAAAAATCCCCCTTTTCCATTCCCTTCCCCATGTCCCTTTTCCCTTCCACATGCCCCTTTTTCCTTCCCTCTTGCCCCTTTTACATTAACTCTTGCCCCGTTTCCCTTCTCTCTTCCCCTTTTTCCTTCTTTCTCCTGCTTTTCCCTTCCCTCTTCTCCTTTTACCTTTCCTCTTTCCACTTTTCCCTTTCCTCATCCCCCTTTTCCCTTCCATTTCCCCTTCCCTTTTTCTTATTCCTTTTCCTCCTTCACCCCTTTTCTTTATTTCTTCAATTTTTTCCCCCAATCCAATGAAAGCTCATATTTTTGCCCCCCTCCCCCCTCCACTCCTGATTTCTATAGACTAATAATAATATTTTCATCTGATCACACCAAAAAAAAACTTAAGAATGTTTATGACGAGACTTACTTGATCAACGATCACGATATCGCAAGCGAGGAAGAACATGAGGTAGAGTGTAATGTATACCATTCTTATTGATGCAAATAGAGCCTGGCATCGTCCAAACACAGACCTAAATACATCGATCTAAATATAATATTAACATTCTTTTGCCTGAAACTACTCTAATCCGCAAACAGAACAAAAACTATTCCGCGGATTTTTCTTTTGCCTGAAACTACTCTAATCCGCAATCAGAACAAAAACTATTCCGCGGATTTTTTTAAAATTCGATCAACAATCAACATACCTCGGTAACCAGTCTCCTGTTGCAATGACCTCAAGCTGACCGTCGCGTGTCTCCAGGAAACAGTGGGACCGGTCATGATGAGCCGTCAATATTTTAACCTTAAAGGAACTGAGATTGTAGTATCGTAGAGAAATATTTTAGGATTCATTTGAGACATATAAAACGTTCTATAATTACTGAGTTTGAGCGCATAGTCGACGTTCAAGATTATCAATTTGGGTGGGTACTTTTGAAAATCGCTTTTTATTAATTATTTAATAAGGACGACAAAAAATGTAACAATAATTTTACAGTAAATTAATTAGTGGTTTAAAAACAGGTTGAGAAAAAAAATTTACTCTTATCATCGAAAATGAGTAATCTTATTCAATTATTAGTTTCTCATTATTCCCTAAGATTTTCTGGAAATTGAAAAGACGAAATTTGAAGAATTTGTAGAAATCTGCGAACAAATTCACAGAAAATAAGAAATTCAATATAATGATGAGAACGAAATAATTGATTCTAACATCGATTTATTGACAAATTTATTTTGATAAACATGTTCCAAAACATCTAATTAGTTTACTACAGAATTTTTACTTTATTTTTATAATTAAAAAAAACCGATTCTCACAACGTACCCACCCAAATTGATGATTTTGAACGACGGCTTTGCGCTCAAGTTCGATAATTATAGAACTTTAAACATTTTATATGTCTCAAATCAATCCAAAAAATTTCTCTACTATACTGCAATGTTAGTTCAACCACCCTACATCGCCAGTCACTCCCTTTAAGTTTTTAACAAAGAAAATATACATTTTAATATCATGGAAAAATTACATGGAGAAATTGACACAAACATGGAACAACTTAAACTTAGAACAACTTAAAGCATGATTATAAAGGAAAATGAAACAAGAAGAGTAATGATGCTAATAGGAACAAAAACGAAGGGCAAAATGATGAGCAATGATATGATTAACATTCTACCTTATGTCCTCTAGTCTGCAATGCCAGTGCGGCATCAACAACTAGACGCTCAGCGCCACCGATACCGAGATCGGGATGTAGGAACACAACACTAGCCATCACTAACCACGCATTATTTCTGCAAAATAGGAGAAGGTTCCAGATTTTGTAATTATCAAGTTGTATTTAGAACTGGATCATCTGACCCTTCCTCTTCTTCTCTCCTCCCAACTCGAAGTGCTTGGTTCTCTTGATAGGGATCTACACATATTCAATATTAAAAAAGGAATATTATCCGTCGAAGAGACTGTATAAATAAATTCAAGTAACCCTTCATTTTTAAATAAACCCGATTTAAACCTAGTTTCTCTACAATGTAGCTTCAGGATTTACGTGGCCAAGACAAGGAAGAAAACTGAAAGAATTTACACCATTTTGGATTTGAGAACAACTATATCTTGTTCACTGTAACTGAGATAACATTGGTTTACAGAGATTAAACGGATTGACAGAGATTTAGAGTGTGCCATTGTGAATAGAGCAAGTTGTTTTCAAATTGAAGAGCAACGTGAACTCACAACTACAGTTCCTCAAAATTACACTTGAAGGTTAATAATAATAATGATATATAAAATTCATTTGAAAGATTTTAAAGCAGTAATCTTAGAAAAGGGATCAAGGTCCACGTTGTCTAAAATATTTTTCATCAAGGAAGTAGAAAATCATTTTCCATACAATCTATATATATACTTTGCTTGTCTGGGTGTCTGCCTGATTGTTTGTTTGTTTGCTTGTATCCAATAAACATCAAAACGACTGAACCGATCGAATTTTGTGTGGGACCTCACGTGACCCCAGGGAAGGTTTATGAATAAAAATATAAAAAAAAATTTTTTAATTTTTAATTTTGTAAAATTTTAAAAATGCACAAAAAAATATTATGAAATTCGCAAACTTTTTGTTTTTCTTTTAAACTATTGAAAGAGACGATGCTTTCAGATAAAGAGCCACAATTAAAAGTTGAAATAGAAGATCGGCGCGAAGCGGCCTAAAAGCCTAGTATATATAAAATTATATTAAACTCTGATTATGCAGAAATATATTTAAAGAATGTACAAACCCACCTGGTGCTTCCACTTGCACTGGGAGCACTCAATCCTGAGAACCAACTTCTTGGTGGTCTTGGCCTTCCTCCTGAGGATAGGTTTGGACTGTCCTCCGAACCCTTGCTGCTTCCTGTCGTACCTTCTCCTACCCTGAGCCTGCTTACTCTCAGCAGACTTCTTGTACTGTGTCACCTAGTACATAGAGAACTGTAATGTGTCATCTAGTACATAGTATACATAGAGAACTGTACTGCGTGACCTGGTACACAGGATAGAGAACTGTACTGTGTGACCAAGTATATGTAGAATATAGAGAACTATACCATGTGACCTAGTTCATATTATATTATATTAAGAACTACACTGCGTCCACTAGTACATTGAATATTGATAATAGAATATTGGTTTATTTGTTCATATTTTTGTCAAAATTTAGCCTAGTGCAAGATACTAATGCAAGAAAAGTTATTTCTGAGGTGTACACATTTTTTGTACTGCCGTGTACTGTCTTAGGGCGGAAAAGTAAACACAAGACGGATGTCACAGCATGACATGGAATCCATTTCCATAGAAATAATCTATGAAATATTCTGGTCATAGGAAACTATTATGTGAACTTTCAAAATTGTCAAAATTAAATGCTTTTATCCTCCTTGGATACTAGACTGATGCATCTTTTCTTGTTTACAAATTCCGCCCAGAGAGAACTGGTTTCAATATGTACGCAGAGTATACGCGACCGCAATTAACTTTCCTTGCATTAGTACCTTGGGCCAGAGTGAAAAAAGCAAATTTATTTTTTATTATTTATTCTGAACATTTATTTTTCTTTCACTTGATCAAATTTTGACTCTGGCAGTAGTCGTATGAAAAACGATGAAAAAACGTGTCGCAGCGATTGTTTTGTAGTTTTATTCATTTTTTCGATCCAAAGACCCAAATTGATTAATGTCACAAGCCCCCCCCCCCCACCCTCCTCAGTTCCTCCCCCTTCGTTTCACCCCCCGCACTTTCCTTACCTTCATCTTCTGGTGCTTGTTGCACTTAGCACAGTAGGTGTTCCTTGCTTTAGGAATATTCACCATTTTTCTTCTGAAGAATATAATTTCATAATTTCATAATCCTCTCACCGAGATACAAAACGTTTATGAACATTAGACACGTGTAAAAATAAATAAATGCGTTATCACAGTGGTCTCCGTGAAGTTAAAAGATTGGAATACTTAAAACAATCATTTAGAATTTTATAAACTTTATAAAATATTTAACAAATATACATGAATGTAAATTTCTAACTCTGAGCAGTATTGGCATCATGATTTATCAATAGGGGTTAATTTAGTTAGATAAATACCGATACTCCATTGGTGTCGATTTTTCCCTTTACATATCAGGTTACTGGATATCATGTTTGTTACCCGACAAAACCTCTGGTTTTCAGATTACCATATAGTTCATTCTACAAACCTCTGAATATCAGATACCGGATATCATTTTATCTCTAGATATCAAATACCGGATATCATGATATCTCTGGTTATAATAATCCAGATTAATTTTTTCTCTGGATATCAGATACCGGATATAATGACTGTTCTACCCTTATATCTCTGTGATATATCCTTTTCCACCTCTCTCTGCAATTCCCTGGTTCTTTCTTGAAGAATTTTGAGTTGAACTTTTCCTTTCTTCTCCTCCAAGCCTGCTTCTTCCTTTCTCCGTCTTATATCTTCTATACTTGATTCCACCTGGAGAAAAATACGATTATAAACTTAAACCCGAACTTAAACAATTAACAGTGCAGTTTTCATTACGCCCATTCTTTTTGGAAGTTATAAAAACATTATGTTAAGATTCCTCCTTTCCAAAAGAAAATCAGCCAATTTGTATTTAAAAATATAGTAAAAATACTTTCCCAAACCTCAAGTATATTTAACTAAACAAATTAAATAACACATTTAACAAGTTTACCTTGTTTTTAAGCTTCTGTTTCTGTTTAAGTGTGTCAGCCAACCTGTCAGCAAACTCCGGGCTGTCACGAATCATTTGCAGCTGCTGCATTCTCACCTCTGTCAGCGAACTAGTCAGGCACTCAACCGCTGACAACATGAGTCGCAAAGTTTGCGGATCATGATTTTGGTTTCCGGATCCAATAGAGAACTTGATACTTTCACTTTCTGTTTCACAAAGTCTCTGAGTTAAGAAGCCTGATAATTCCTCGAGCTCGTCAATAATGATCGTCCGTGTTCGTCTGTTATCCAGGATAGAGAGCGCTTCCTCCTCTTTTGCTACTCCGCCCGCCATACCTCCCTCCTCAACCACTATACAGCTCGTGTCCACACCCTCGATATCGAAATCAATCTCTCCGCCGTCGAAGTCTATTTCCGCCCCACTGTCTCCGAAATCAATCTCACCATCGCCGAAGTCAACCTCATCGCCAAAGTCGACTTCATTGCCGAAATCTACTTCGTTGTCATCGCCGAAATCTATCTTACCATCCTCGTTTTCCTCTTCCTCTTTAAACTCGATAATCGGCGTCTCGACAGAGATAGGTTTCTCTCCGTACTTCCACTGGTACGTTGTTACGTTTCCGTGCTCGATCAAAAAATTCAAGTTCTCCAAAACCTTGAGCTCCACCCCCTCGTTAACATTGTTCTGGACGAACTCCTTGTAGAGGTTGGAGGCGTCCTTAAGCTTCGCTGCTTTCTCAGCAACCCTGGAGTATGTTTCTGGAAGATCACGAGCCAAGGATATAATTTCTTTTTTTATACTTTTTCCTTCAATGCCGAGCAGCTTACATTGCTTCCTAATCAGAAAACAATGTCAGTAAATTTTCATGATTACATTAAAAATATATATTTGTTTTATCTTCTCAGGGATTGGGGTTCGACTCCGGTGCCTCTAATGGTGAAATATGACCCAAAATATACCAAACACACCTGCAGAGTTAAAATTTGAGGAAATCGGTAAGTTTCGCTTTATATTTCAATGCTCGATTGAGTTTTAGTATAAACAAAATAAGCGAGAAAATGGTTAAAAATCAGAGAATTATTGTGAAGCAAAAATTAGGAAAATTTTTGAGCGGATTTAGGATTCCAAACGTTTTCAAAACAGAAAGATCCTCAACGTTTCATTTAGAATTCAAAGATTTTATGAAATATAGGTATTATAATGAAAATAAAATTCTTTGTCAAATCATCTTCTATACTATTGAAAGACTAGCTTGGGAACATAGTTACTCCAGCCGTTTACCCGCACTTAGTCGTAAAATAAGATTTTTTCTATTTTTCTCTATAAAAGTCGACCCATTCAACTCAATGTCAAAACGAAGCTAAGAAAATTCCGTGGTTCTCTCCCGAGATCCCCAGTAAAAATTTGAGGCCAATCGGTCCATGGGTTCATGAGTTATGATGAAACATTTAAAGAAACAAACAGTAATTACAACTTTACAATTAAGACACAGAAAACCTAATTCAACCTGAAACTAATAAGCTTAAAGAATAGTTTAAGATCGATAATAAAGCATCATCCTTTATGGGTTACCCTGTGGATTAAATATTTGTCTTGCATCTAACCTGAACTCCTCGTCTAACTCAAGGATACGTTTCCCCGCGGTTTCCTCCTTCTTATCTGACTCTAGCTGAATCTGCTCCAACTTCTGGTTGTTCTTCTTTACTGCTGGAATCTCGTAAACTGTATTCTGGGTCAGGATCTGAGCACTCTCTGCTAGGTAGACACAACCATTCTCATACTCACTGAACAATCTTACGTGAGATGAGTTAGAGTAATATCACCGTTTGTTTTGTCAAGTTCGTTCCCGGAGATGAAAGTCATGCTTTTCAGACACGGCTTAGGGTATATAAGATAAGATAAGATATACATTTTAAATTACTACAAAATCTTTCTCTCCCTGCACCAATCCCCCCCCCCCTCCTTCAAGTATGTGAGGATTGTATTGGCGAAGAATTCTTCATCTACATCTACATCACTCACAAACACTTCATCTTAATTAATTTTAACTACAATTTTCTTGAAAGCTTGCCATTTTTGATTGTTCAACACAATATGAGTGAGCCTTTGGGGAAAAAAGGGGCATTGAACTTTAAGGTGAAAAAACCAAATGGGAAAAAAGGAAATTTAAACGGTTATCCAAACCTGATAATTTGTTTCCAATCCTTCATCCTCTTGGACCCGTACTGGCCGAAGAAATTCTTTGAGTCTGCCTCCGTCTCCTTCAAGATATCAACAATCTTTAAGCAGTGGAAGTAGTTAATGTGCGAACCAAGAAGTAGCTCCTTGATGGAATTGTTCTCCGGCATGTCCTGCATGGCATCGCCGATTTTTTCCCGGATTTTCACGGCATGCTCATGCCAATCACGGGAGCAGATACGTCGGCTAGAAATATAAAATAAAGAACTGTTGACGAGAAATAATAATTATTTGAACCAAAATCAATGTTAATTAAGAAGTCAACAACATGCTAAATCCAAAATATAACAACAGGGGAATTCTTTAACTTCCCAAATGTGCAATTTCCCAAGAGGCAACTTCCCAAAGGTTAGGTTAGGCCCTCTGAGGCGCCGGGGACGAGTGCTGCGGCTAGCAAAGTCTTGAGAAGTTGCCAATTGGGAAATTGCACATTTGGGAAGCTGCCACTAGGAAAAATACTCTTAGGAAGTTGCCGCATGGAAAAAATCCGTTGGGAAAGTACTTAACATCTACTAAGATAACGGATAAAGCAAGAAAAGCTAAATCCCATAGGGAAAATTTATCTAAAAATGTCCTGCACTTGAAATCAAATTAATACTTAAAGAAGATTGTAAAAAGTCTGACCTGACTAGCCAGTCTAGAAGTTTCCGTACTGCAATATCTATCGATATATCCTTCTCATTCATATTTTCTGTAAATGCATCAAGATAAATATTTCCTAGATTCAGACATCACTTCTTCAATCCTCCCCTCGTCCAGATCATTCCTCCAGTCTCCGTCCTTCTTGAAGTAGGTTCCAATGATCAACCCCGTGGCGGAGCTAAATTCCGGCAGATTAGAGGCGGAGACTCCGCTCCCTATGAAGACGGGTAGGGTTGGAACAGCTCTGGAGACAAGTTCTAGCTCCAGGGGCGAGGCAGGAGAGCCAGTGCTAGTTCCAGTAATTATTACTCCGTCGGAGCGGAAGAAATCAGCAGCTTTTGCTGTATCAATGATATCTACATCACTTGTAACAGAGTGAGAGCAATGCTTCTTTTTGATATCTGAGAAAATTGATATACTTCCAGCTCCAATTTTACGGCGGAACCTAACAAAAAATAAGGTTCAGATATGAAATAAAAAATCCTTGATAATACAATTTCAGTGCTCAAGCCAGTATTGATCAACAATAAAAAAATCAATAATCTCAGGAATTATTTAACGTTTATTACACATGGTAATAAAGACGGATAAGTATTCAACCGGTCACGAATTTCTAACCGTTTTTTTGCCCCTTCCTAAGAGGACTTTAGCATTCACAGGGCTTTCCCAAAAACTTGATGAGATTTCAAAGACGACTTGACGGAATTCATACTTTCTGTTTCCTAACATTAATGTTTCCCTCCAACTACAATCTACTCATTAAATAAGTTATTAATAACACTAAATTTTGTATTTAATCCTTTGAGGTAAACCCTGTAAATCCTTTCGTAAACACTGAGTGTGCACTGTGCATACCTCAGCAGTTCCCCAGCACAACTATCAATCCATCCTTCATCTGCAACATGGCTGAACACAAAGCCTTCAACTCTAAATACAAAACAAATTGGTATTTTGATTTTTGAAAACTTCATTTACCACATGGAAATTTATAAATGAAATAAAGGATGATAAACTTTGTTCGTCTGGTTCAACTTTCTCTCAAAAAAATTACAATTTTATTATTTGACAAAAATAATAGAATTGTATCCTACAGAAAGCAGGGATATATAAAATTCCAATTTTTTTATTCCCCCCCCCCCCTCTCTAGGAGTGTGTATAATTCCAATTTTTTAATTCTTTCACCCCCTTAATTTTTTTTGAAATCCTTCCCCAAATTCAATAACTATAAAGACATCATTTTTTAATATTTATATTGCAGTGCATAATAATCATTTTAAGAATGCAATTTTTTAAGACTTAGGGTATGGTGGCAATGGGAACAATAAGTCGGGATTGATTATTTGTCAGTCCAGGAGTAAATTGTTTCTTGGAATTCATTATCCATCATTTTCTTGGGGGGGGGGGGGATATTTGGAAAAAAAGCTTAGCTCTGATGTACACAACCGACCTCCCTATTAATTAATTAATAGAATGGTCTGTTGCATACATCACTATATGTTTACGTATCTAACACTGTACACTTGTATATTTTTTATATCCCTGACTGAAAGTGAACTGGGGTAGTTAACACCTTCGGCAAGATTATGACTCGATCCCTTTAAAGCTTGAACCACATTCAATAGTTTGAAATGAAATGAAAAAGATCAACAGTTTACAACCCAAGAGAACTTTTCTAGTAAGGTCTTAACGTATTCTTATTTTTTACCAACCTGACAAACTGTAAATCTGCAGACAGAGCTGCGGCTAGAGCTGCCTGGTTTGCTCCAGCTAGGATCTGTATACCAACAGGAACCTTTCTGGGAAGAATAGATCGCACTTTGCTTCCTAAAACAGACATGCAGGCTGTGATCTCAGGACCTAAATATGAATGTATAAATATAAAGGCTGTAGACGTATTTTTAAGAAGTAATGAAACACTAAAAAGGTAAAAATATGATTTTTGAAGAGAAATTTTTAAGAAAATTTTAACACCCGGCTCTTGATATTTAATTTCAGGTTAAACCTTGACACAATTGCTCTAGTTTTTATTTGTATTATAGGTTCCATTGTAAAATGTAGATATACGGATATCTAAATTGAAATGTCATGTATCAAGGTTGTCCCTGTACGGCTGGTACCTGTATGATATATCACCTAGATCCTGTCCCCTAGAGTACGGAGTATCATGCATATTCTCCAGGATAATACCGTTCACCCCGTGGTTCCTGTACACGTTGGCCTCGTACTCAATCTTCTCCATGATCTCGCTCATGTTGTAGAAGCTGGATGGAGTTCCTTAACATAATTATTTTACATTTTACATTCAGGTATTCTAATCTAACAGTTCTTCCAAAAAGCTATATATATCCACGATTTAGCTATTTTTATATCAATTTATTTCTAAAAAACAGTGCTCAGAATCCATTTCATTTTCATGCGGATGTTTCAGTGGAAATTTTTTGTTATTATTTTTGCGGATCCAGGTTCAAAAAGTTCATTTTAGGATACAGTGGATCCGAATGCACTGCTTTCTAAGTTAATATTAAGAAAAATTAGAATGGTAATTGTGCCCTTAGAAGATAAAATTTTTTACCTAGTAAAAGCTTGTGCCATGTACATTGTACAAGGAGCGAATCAAAGGTAATTTCAAGTGACCCTCCGTACAAAAAAAGCAATGCCCGATTTGCAATGGTACCTTTGAAACCTTATTTGATCAAAAATGTGGAAGATAATGTCGTTTTTCTGACTCGAAAAGGGTTTAATTTTGATAAAATATCCATTGATTCTTTCAAGCAACAAATCCGCAAGACAATTTTGCAGAAAACCGCAAATGAAAAAATGAAGAAACAAAATCATGAATTTCATACTTTATCAGGTGCAGCCATCCTAGCATTGAGGGTCACTTAAAATTACAATCCCATAAAGATGATAATAATTTCACCTGGTAAAGCTGGTACATGAATCATCCCAATAATGTTACAGCAAGATTTCTCAAACAGTTTGAATCTCATCTTGTCTGAAACATTAGAACCAAATTAACAAATACATAAATATCTGACTGTTACCAAAAGTAGAAAAGAAATAAATTTAGGATAAAACTGTAATAAATACATATTTCAGGAAACACAGAGTGCAAATAAAAACTATTGTTCGTTTTGAGACTTGAGATATTCGCTGTATTTCTTCTCCTGGGCCTGATACAACTTCTGCAACTTCTTTACTTGAGCTTTAGGGATCTCTTCTCCGTCCTTGGTAAGAGTAGGGAAACCTTTATCATCAAACTGACTGTACTTATCCGTCTCCGACTTAAACATCTCGGTCGGAGGAATTCTTTTCTGTGCCTCCAGTGCAGCAGCTTTATCTGCTGCTTCCTTCTTCTTGGCTTCCTTTTCCAGTCTTTTCTTCTCCTCCACTGCCTTCTTCTCCTCTCTCTCCTTCATCAACACGTCCCTGTCCACCAGCTTGATCACAGTCTGAGCTGCCTCCTTGTCCTCTAATCTTACTCCGAGGTTGGGCAGGACATCGTCTCTCAATCGATCACACTCTTTGAGGATATCAGAGGCCTTGATCTCCCTAGCTGAGACCCTCACGTTGTCCCTGAAGTCAGCCATGGCACTAAGGTACGGAAGAACCAGTGTCTCTAGATCTACTCCGTCAGCTGAACCGGACACAGGGAATCCAACAGATTCGTCCTTTGATATCATTCCTAAGACACTGAATATCTCTGTGATATAGGACGCAACGTTCTTCAGCAGTTGCCTGTTAAGAGCTCCGGGTTGCGGGTTTGCAAGGTAGGAGTTAGAGTTTGTGATCAGTTCTCTTAAAGTTTCAAGAACTGTTCTAGTATCAATATTATCACAGAATGCAGCGTGAACACCAGCCTTGCATTTCTCTAGTTTTTTGTTCAGCTCAAGTTCGTCTTTACCCCATTTACAGAAGGCGGCTACCCCGGTAGCGGGTGTGGACCTCAGTATATGTTTAACGCCCAGGAAGAACTCATTTGCAGTTCTTTCATAAGATTTGGCGAGCTCCATCGTGTTATCATTGTAGTCCAAGGTGTCCTTCCAGGAGTGGAGAAGGAAGGTTATCCGGAGTTGTCGGGCTGTATACGTCTTAAGTACGTCCTGAATCGTTATGAAGTTCTTCAAAGATTTAGACATTTTGCATCCAGCAATAGTTAGGTGACCGGAATGAAGAAAGTAACGAATCCAAACATCGTTATCAAAGTACGCTTCGGACTGAGCAATCTCGTTATCATGATGAGGGAACTTGAGGTCGTATCCGCCCGTGTGAATATCAATAGAGGATCCAAGGATAGCCGAGGCCATTGCACTGCACTCGATGTGCCATCCTGGTCTTCCAAGTCCCCAGGGACTTTCCCAGGAGGGTTCTCCGGGCTTGGATTTCTTCCAGAGAGCAAAATCATTCAAAGAACGCTTTTCCTGACCGTCAGCGCTTAGGTCTCCTTCTCCTTCAGCTAAAGCTTTAGCGTCACCGAAGGCTTCGGGGACAAGTTTTGCGTAATGGTGGCAGGGAGATGCGTCAAACTGTTTCACATCAAAATACACGGAGCCGTTGGATTCGTACGCATAATTTCGATCGATGATGGACTGGATATAATCTACAATTTCCGGAACGTATTCACTGACACGCGTTAAACAATCTGCAGGAAGAACATTCAAGGATTCCATGTCTTTATGAAACGCTTCCTCCCAATACCTAGATAGAAAATGTGTAAAATTAAGGGAGAAACTTTTATTGACAAGAATTCTCTGATACATCTTGCACCCGTCCTTAATTATTCATATATATAATAAAAAAACAAAATATGAATTTCCTTTTCCGGATATTTTAATTCGTTAAATATTTCGTCCATTTCTTTTATTCCTTTCCAAAATTCGACAGCCCATAGGAAGTTATTTCACCATAAACATATTAATCACAATTTTAGGTATTGAGGCAGTGGGGTAAAAGGTATATATTTACTTGTATTTTTAGTTTAATTCCCCTTCCATCATGAAAATATTATTCCAATAGTTTTAATTTTTAATTCATTTTTAGAGCTGAATAGTGCAAAGTATTTTACGGTAAAAATCAATTATTTCCTTTTCACTCTGGTTATCTTTGAATGAAATTATACTCCATGCTAGCAATTAACTTTGAGCAAGCTCACCTAGGTAAATCAGAGAATATTTTGTTCTTCGTGACCGAGCTACCGATTTTAGAATCCAACCAGTCGGAGAGTACGTCCTTGGCCTCTCTGAGCAAGTTCTCCTTCTCCTCCTCAACCCGTCCTTGATCTCCAGACTTGACTGCAGTTTCGACACTGCCCACGGCAACCTTCAGCTTCTCAAACATTCTTTCCTAAACTTATATCTTATAAGTTGAGAAAATGAAGAAAATTGAAGATTTAAAATGTTTTTTTTTAAGGCACTAAATGCGCGTTTCAAATTATAAATTCCAAATTATTATCTTGGATAAAGTTTTTACTTTAAAATCTACGGAGTAGTAAACATTTAAAATATCAAAGGTTTTTATGTGGAAAAAAAATGTGAATTATTAGAAGATTTTAGATAGAGGTAAAAAAAACAGCTAATTTATAAAATTAAGAACAAAATGGATTGAGAAAACCAGAAAATTTTTGAAAATAAGAAAAGTAATAATTTTCATTTTAATAATTTTAACCTGCATAATCTTTTTATCCGGATCCGTTGTTTTCTCAACGACCCCTCCAAAATACTCCATAACAATGTTGCAATCCTCCAAAACCTTCTCCAGAGAATGCTTCTCTGCTAAATACTGCTGGTAAAGATGGTTCTGACGAGCTCGTTTGATAATCTTATCATCTATATCCGTGATATTCATAACATAAAAAATATCGTACCCGAAGTAGTTCTGAATGACACGTCTAAGGATATCGAATGAGAGGTAAGTCCGCGCGTGACCCATGTGGGACGCGTCGTAAACTGTTGGACCACAGTTATACCAGGTTACACGTCGACCTGCTTGGGGGACAAATACCTCCTTTTTCCTAAACATAACATTCATTTAGATGCAGATCTAGATCCAAATGCCTAAAAGAAGTTCTACAGTTTATTAATATAAAGAATTGACTCAAATCGACAAACATTTTCAACGCATCATGTATTTTTAGCTATTAAAATCATCAAGCACCAAAGCTTGATGGGTCTTATTTATATGGCAAGACTGTTGAAAAGTTTTTGCACCGAGGTTAACTGGCTTTCTAGTTGACTACATACATGGTTACTGTTAAAAAGTTTTAACACCGCAGTTTGTTTAGTATCCGGTGGACAAAAAACCTGGTAAGACTGTTGAACAGTTCTGGCACTTGAAGCTGGAAACTTCGGTGACTAATTACCTCCTGGTTCGACTGTGGAAAAATTTTAACACCCGAGTGTGTTGGGTCTCCGGTGAACTATTTACCTGGTAAGACTGTTGAAAAGTTCGAGCACCGGAGTTTGTTGGTTTTCCGGTGGACTCCAGCTGGGCTGAACACGTTTCGACATTGTTAGACTGGAGTGGAGAAACCGTGGGGACAAGCTTCGACCAACAAGACGGAGGCTTACACACTGAAAATGCATTCGATTATGGTTCTCTCATATAAATTTCTGAAATTTACCAGTCAGAAGAGGAGGAAAACTAATAAAAAGGGAATTACTATTTGAATAAACATTCTTAGAAGGATTAATAAACCGATACATTTATCAGTAAGTAAAACAAAAAACAAGTGCGCGCGCGTTAATATGATATCAATAATAACGGCTACAGCACTTCAATAAGTATTTCAAGTGAATAACAAGATAAAAATACATAATAATTAATCATACAAACATAACAATAAGATTAAATAGAGTCTTCGAGAAATTAATTTCAGTAGATGGCTAAATTTAGAAATTTTCGGCAAAAATTTAAAAACTAAATAACAATTTTGCTGAATAATAATTAGTCAATAGTATGTACATAGTCTATAGGAGGGGGGGGGGGGCGGGTAATTCCATAGTGTAAGATTTTTGAACCCCCATTCCTATCAATTTTGTACATGGATCTCATATGTAACACAAGGATATGGCCATGTGGCCTCAGCGCCCGGCCCCCTAGACTGTCCTAGCCGCGACACTCGGCCCCCTAGCCTGTCCAAGGCCGCAGCGCTCGGCTCAGAAATTGTCTTAACCTAGCCTTACCCTAACATAATAAAAATAAATAATAATTTAGCTGAGAATTAGTAGCCATATACAAAATTGATAGGAGGGAGGTCCAGAAAACGTATACAAGGACGGACCCGGGGGGCGGGGGGGGGGGGTCAAAATTCGTTCTATCGGACAGACCCGTATATTTAAGGGTAAGTTGCCGTCATGTTTAGCAGAAGGGTCATCAAGGACAGGAAAAGGCTAGAAATAATTTCTATCCAAATATATTAATCAAAATGTAAGCTTATTAATTTGCAGACAACTTTGGTTTTATGGGAAAGTGTGTAAACCATTTCCAAATGACATAAAATTTCTAAGTTTGATTCAAATAACGTTAAATTATACACGTATTGCAACACAGAACTCAGATAAACAAATATTTGAAACGTGGAACCGCTTTCCGCCATGTTAAATTATCTGTCACTGATCACTATGAAGGAAAGTAAAAATTTCAACGCGGCATTTTTCAAACATTTTCTTCTTTTTTAAAAAGCATTTTATCGGTTATTAAATGTTATAAACTAAAAACTCGTGTTGAATTTATTAGGATCATTAAAATATTTTTGAAAATTTCATATTTTAAGTTTCTGGTTTAACAAAATATGATATTTTTCATGTTTCTCGTCGTCTTACTTTTAAAAATTTATATTTCTAGCAGACAGTTTATACTCTACGTACTTCGTGAACTTAAAAACTTGTTTTTATTTTTCTTATCTCGCAATAGTTCATGTTTTCTCAGAATTAACAAGAAAATACTTAGTGAAGGAGACGATTCTAAACTTTTAATGTTTTATTTGTAATGTTTTTATTTTTATGCTTATTATTCATGGTTTTACAAAAGTAAGAATTGTCAAAAAAACATTAAACATATTTTAATTTGTTTTTAAGAATATAATTCTTAAAGAAGAATGGCGTTGAAAGGCTTGAAAGTATTGGAACTGGCTGGTCTAGCCCCTGCTCCTGTTTGTGGCATGATTCTTGCAGATTTTGGAGCTAAGGTATTCTAATTTAAACGGGTCAATTATATAGATTATTTTAAGCTAGAAGTTTTTTGTTCACTGTAAATTTTGATCCAAGAAGGCATGATTTTGGCATCATTTTCACTCTAAAACTAGGATACAAGGGTGTATGTATTCTAGGATACAAGGGTGTATTTATCCTATGTTACAAGGGTGTATTTATCATATGTTACAAGGGTGTATCCTAGGTTACAAGGGTGTATCCTAGGTTACAAGGGTGTATGTATTCTAGGTTACAAGGGTGTATGTTTCCTTGGTTACAAGAATGTATCCTAGACTACAAAGGTGTATCCTAGGTTACAAGGGTGTATCCTAGGTTACAAGGGTGTATCCTAGGTTACAAGGGTGTATGTATTCTAAGTTACAAGGGTGTATGTATCCTTGGTTACAAGGGTGTATCCTAGACTACAAAGGTGTATCCTAGGTTACAAGGGTGTATCCTAGGTTACAAGGGGGTATCCTAGGTTACAAGAGCGTATGTATTCTAGGTTACAAGGGTGTATGTATCCTAGGCTACAAGGGTGTATTCTAGGTTACAAAAGTGTATCCTAGGTTACAAGGGTGTATGTATTCTAGGTTAAAAGTGTGTATATATCCTACAAGTTAAAAGGGTGTATCATAGGTTAAAAGGATGTATCATAGGTTTAAAGGATGTATCATAGGTTAAAAGGGTGTATTCTAGGTTACAAGGGTGGATCGATTAGGAGCTGGTCATCTGAACTACGATGTAACTGCTCGTGGAAAACAATCTATATCTATTGATCTGAAGAAGAAAGAAGGCGTTCAGGGAAACTCTCATCTAAATATATTTCCATTCTGATGTTAATATTTTTTTTTAATGTAATACAATCCAAACTAATGATAAATAAAATTTTATGAGCGTTAAAAATGCTGGAGCAGGTTTTGAGAAAGCTTTGCTTGAACCACGATGTTCTCATTGAACCATTCCGACCTGGAGTAATGGAGAAGCTTGGTCTGGGACCGGATAATCTTACTCAAGAAAATCCTAAGCTGGTGAATTCATTTTTATCAAATAAAAAACTTTATTCCAAGCTAGCTCACGCCTCACCCCTAGACCTAGTCTTTTGATTATTTTATAATCTTAGATTTATGCTCGATTGACCGGTTTTGGACAAACCGGACCTTACAAACATATGGCTGGCCACGATATCAACTACCTAGCCTTGTCTGGCGTTCTTTCTTCATTGGGACGGAAAGGGGAAAACCCTTATGCTCCGATCAATCTTTTGGCGGATTTTGCTGGCGGAAGCTTTGTTTGCGCAATGGGTATAATGGCAGCTCTCCTGGAACGTAGCGTATCTGGGAAAGGACAGGTAGTTTCATTCTTTTTCCAGAATTCCATGAAATAAAAAATATTTTAAATTTTACCGGGTAACGTTATTTATTGATAGGTGATAGACAGCTGTATGGTAGAAGGAGCAGCTTATGTTAGTTCATGGCTTTTTGCGTCAAGGTTGGACAAATTTCTGATTAGTTACCGTCTATTATCAGTAATAATTGCCATTTTACACCCCTGTTCAGGAATATTATATATCCCTGTTTAGGAATATTATATACCCCTGTTCAGGAATATTATATACCCCTGTTTAGGAATATTATATACCCCTGTTCAGGTATATTATATACCCATGTTCAGGAATATTATATACCCCTGTTCAGGAATGTTATAATATACCCCTGTTCAGGAATATTATATACCCCTGTTCAGGAATGTTATAATATACCCCTGTTCAGGAATATTATATACCCCTGATTAGGAATATTATGTACCCCCTGTTTAGGAATATTATATACCCTTGTTTAGGAATATTATACCCTTGTTTAGAGATATTATATACCCCTGTTTAGGAATATTATATACACCTGTTTAGGAACATTATTTACCCTTGTTTATGAATATTATATACCCCTGTTTAGAAATATTATTTACCCCTGTTTAGGAATATTATATACCCCTGTTTAGAAATTTATTATTTAACAGTGTTAAGGAATATTATGGACCCCCTGTTTAAGAATATTATAAACACATCAGTATATTATATACCCCTGTTAAGGAATATTATATACCCTGTTTAGGAATATTAAATACCTGTGTTTAGGAAAATTATATATCTCTGTTTAGGAATAATATGTACCCCCTGTTCAGGAATATTATTTACCCTTGTTGAGGAATATTATATACCCTTGTTTAGGAATATTATATACACTTGTTTAGGAATATTATGTACCCCCTGTTTAAGGAATATTATATACCCTTGTTTAGGAATATTATATTCTCCTGTTTAGGAATATTATATACTCCTGTTTAGGAATACTATGTACCCGTGTTTAGGAATATTATATACCCTTCTTTAGGAATATTATATACCCCTGTTTAGGAATACTATATATACCTGTTTAGGAATACTATATACACTTTTTTAGGAACATTATTTACCATTGCTTAGGAATATTATATACCCCTGTTTAGGAATATTATGTATCTCTGTTTAGGAATATTATGTATCTCTGTTTAGGAATATTATATACACCTGTTTAGGGATATTATATACACCTGTTTAGGAATATTATATACACCTGTTTAGGAATATTATATACCCCTGTTTAGGAATATTATATACCCCTGTTTAGGAATATTATATACCCCTGTTTAGGAATATTATATACACCTGTTTAGGAATATTATATACACCTGTTTAGGGATATCATATACCCCTGTTTAGGGATATGTTTGTGTGGGGTAAGCCAAGAGGAGAAAATTTTCTTGACACAGGACATCATTTTTATGAGACTTATAAAACTAAAGGTGAACTTACTTTCCAATTATATTCAATTAATTGAGAGCATCTTGGAAAATCCAATTAAAATAACACAATATTTGTTTCGTTTCGGAAGTCTTTATAGTTTACGCTAAAGCTCGGGGCAAAATATTAAATTATAAAAGGCTTGAAGTTGAACGATTTTGAAAAAGTGAAAATTCTGTCCTAAAATTGTATATCACTGCAAACCAAAATAATAGTGTTATAGTTATTTTACGTGATGCCAGTATTTGCATTTTAGATGATAAATATATGTCTGTGGGTGCCTTAGAACCTCACTTTTATAGGTAACACATTTTTCTTTTCTTTTTTTTGGGGGGGGGGCCAAATTCCCTTTCCATTGTGAAAGTTAACATAAGTACAGCATTTCCAATAAATACTAAAATATAAAATTAAGTATTGAAGCAACTGTATATAGTGTACAGGGTTATACTAGTAAATAAACTATCGCTGTATTCTAGTTTACTACTGGATTAACTGTCCCTGTATTCTAGTATACTACTAGATATATCCCTGTATTATAGTTTACTACTGGATATAGCCCTGTATTCTAGTTTACTACTGGATATAGCCCTGTATTCTAGTTTACTACTGGATATATCCCTGTATTCTAGTTTACTACTGGATATAGCCCTGTATTCTAGTGTACTACTGGATAAACTATCCATTTATTCTAGTGTACTACTGGATAAACTATCCCTATATTATAGTTTACTACTGGATTAACTATCCCTATATTCTAGTATACCACTGGATTAACTATCCCTGTATTTTAGTTTACTACTGGATATAGCCCTGTATTCTAGTGTACTACTGGATAAACTATCCATTTATTCTAGTGTACTACTGGATAAACTATCCCTGTATTATAGTTTACTACTGGATTAACTATCCCTATATTCTAGTATACCACTGGATTAACTATCCCTGTATTCTAGTTTACTACTGGATTAACTATCCCTATATTCTAATATACCACTGGATTAACTATCCCTGTATTCTAGTATGCTACTGGATATATACCTCTATTCTAGTTTACTACTGGATATATTATCACTGTATTCTAGTTTACTACTGGATATATACCTCTTTTCTAGTTTATCACTGGATAAATTATCACTGTATCCTATTATACTACTGGATAAACTATCCCTGTATTCGAGTGTACTATTGGATAAACTATCCCTGTATTCTAGTTTACTACTGGATATATTCCTGTATTCTAGTTTACTACTGGATATATACCTCTATTCTAGTTTACTACTGAATATATCCCTGTATTCTAGTATACTACTGGATATATCCCTGTATTCTAGTATACTACTGGATATATCCCTGTATTCTAGTATACTATTAGATAAAGATACTGGATTAACTATCCCTGTATTCTATTTTACTACTGGATATATCCATTTTTTTCTGTTAACTAACAGATTAACTATCCCTGCATTCTAGTTTACTTCTGGATAAACTATCCTTGTATTTAAGTTTACTACTGGATAAAATATCCTTGTATTCTAGTGTACTACTGGATAAGCTATCTCTAACAGATGAAGAACTGCCTCAGTTTGATGATCCTGATGAAATGAAGAAGAAACTAGGCAGAATTTTCAGCACTAAAACTCAGGTAAGAGAATATGAAATAAACATGTTTTTAACTACAGTGGGATCTATAATACTATGGAAGGCAACTGTAAGACTAAAGTTATTGTAATTGCGTAGTATACACAGACCCATTTCATTAAATAAGTTGGTAATATAGCAAAAGTAAAACGTTATGATCATCTTCCTTTTTACATAGTTTTATGGGTCCCACTGCATATTATGGTGAGATTTAGAAGTTGTCAGGATTTATCCATGCAAGAAAAAAATTTTCTAACAACTTTTAATCCTTCAATTTTTCCATTCAAACAGAAAAATGATTACTGTATCTTGCTAAAAAGAATAGTCTCATATATATTTTGCCAAAAAAATGGTCTGATAAATATATCTTGCTAGAAAGAATGGTCTGATAAATGTATCTTACTAAAAAGAATGGTCTGATATATATATCTTGCTAGAAAGAATGGTCTGATAAATATATCTTGCTAGAAAGAACGGTCTAATATGTTTGTATATCTTGCTAGAAAGAACGGTCTGATATGTATGTATATCTTGCTAGAAAGTATGGTCTTATATTTATCTTGAATAGAAAGAATGGTATAGTATATATATGCCGTGTTAGAAAGAATGGTCTGATAAATACATCTTGCTAGAAAGAACGGTCTAATATGTTTGTATATCTTGCTAGAAAGAACGGTCTAATATGTTTGTATATCTTGCTAGAAAGAACGGTCTTATATGTATGTATATCTTGCTAGAAAGAATGGTCTTATATTTATCTTGAATAGAAAGAATAGTATAGTATATATATGCCGTGTTAGAAAGAATGGTCTGATAAATATATCTTTCTAGAATGAATGGTCTGAAATATTTATCTTGCTAGAAAGAATGGTCTGAAATATTTATCTGGCTAGGAAGAATGGCCTGATAAAAATATCTTTCTAGAAAGAATGGTCTGATATATTTATCTTGCTAAAAAGAATGGTCTGAAATATTTATCTTGCTAGGAAGAATGGTCTGATATATTTATCTTGCTAGAAAGAATGGTCACTTATATTTATCTTGCTAGAAAGAATGGTCTGATATATTTGATGGTTCTGATTCATGTGTAACCCCAGTGCTAGAAAAGGAAGATACAGCTGATCATCCTCAAAATAAATTCAGGTCTCTCCCTGACAGTAGTTTATTATTTTTCAATAAAAATTAGTAGACGTTAGACAAGAATAGAATTGTCTCTGGTGACTTTAAAATCAAATGTAAATTTTTTTTCGAATTATAAATTTAATGGTACTTTTAGGTTATGTTTATTTTTTATTACGAATGATTTTTTTCACAGACCTTTTTACCTCAAAAATATCATTTAATGACTGACAATAGAGATAAATATAAAGTTTTTGACATTTTTTTAAATATGAGATAAATACAGAGTTGTTAACCATTAGTTTCAAAACCTCTATAAAATGTCGTCTTATACTGGAATCTCCTGTCGGAGACAGCCAAACCAAATTTCCAGCCCGCAAATTCCATTGTCCTCCTCCGACGGAGCTTAAAATATTTTTGTTGTTGTGAAATCATTAAAGTTAAGCAAAATACTTTCATAAGAAGCATAAGTGAATTTCGTTAAATATTCAACTGTAATTTTTCAGAAGTTAAAAAAACGTATATCAATACTGATCAACAAATAAGTCACCCCTTCTATACTTAAATAATTCGTAAGATTTTTTCTACTATTAACATTCATTATAACATTGTACAATTAAACATGACCTATAATTTATGTTATTTTTTAGGAAATAAAGATTTTGTTATCGAATTTCTGTGACGGGGTTACTCTGTTGTGTGTGTATTGTTCGGCCATCGGGAAAGAATCGTCTGGGGATAATAAACACCCCTTTCAAAATCCTAACCGGCCTATTATCCGGATTTATCTAGCGTGTTGCTGTTATCTGTCAACAAGAGTATCTATCATTATTTTTTTTGAATGCATCTTACAATCACGTTTATATATATCTTTCTTTCTTATAATTACGTTGATATCTTTCTTTTTATTTATCCTTTAACCGCGCGATAGACCGCGCGATAGTTACCAAATCCTCACCTTTCTCCATATATTATCAATGTTTTTAATGATTCATCTAGGGGTTCCTTCCTACCTGGGGGTATGCCTAGACCTGCCCCCCTTCTCAGTCGAACCCCTGCTATACCAGCAACATTGTAAGTATATTTATAATGAGAGAACCAGAAAACTTTGGAATAGGAAGACGACTTTTGGATTTAAGTTATGACTGAAAAGTCTTGTGATCATTAGAAACGGCAATTTTGCTGTGTAAACAGCTGCCCATTTAACTTTATAAATGATTCAAAAATTTAATAGTAAAACTATTTGTAACACAATCAAATACAGAGTATTGATTTAATGTCGACTTCCACTTCCACAGTTTTCTGGTTCTCACTGTATATTATCAATATTCTTTTGTACAGTTTTAAAAACTTCTTCCCGATTTCGTATTTTTGTTGCTATTTTTTTCAATATTCCTTAGTCAAAGTTTGAACAAATTATGGTTTTAACAGTCAGGTTGCCATGATATAGGAAAAATAAAATAAGATATATAGGCAGGTAATCCATAATCTGCTCATTTCTTTCCGATTTGTTTAACAGTCAGGTTGCCATGATATAGGAAAAATAAAATAAGATTTATAGGCAGTTAATCCATAATCTGCTCATTTCTTTCCGATTTGTTTAATAGACCCTTGTATGCAAAGGTTCATAATTTCAAAATTCAATGATTTTCAAATTTTTCGAAAAAAATGTGATAATGGTACTTTCTATCGCGTATTGGCATCTTTTAATATTGTTTTCATCAAAAGTCTTTAATTTTTTTAACAAAATTTTTTTATTTTGGTGTAAAGTGCAAGCTCCAGTTTTATTTAACTTATGCAAGAAATTTACAAAATAATAAAGGAAATTTCTGTTTCTAGAGAGTGTAGTGTGGTAGCTGGAGCAGATACTAGATCAGGGACAAGATTTAATCAATTGGAGAGGCCGCTGAACTTCCCAGTTCAAACCCTGAATCATCGATTCAAATCCACAGGAATCTTTAACTTTTAATTGGTGTATCAGGATTTTAACTCAGGGCTTTTATAAGACGACCAGAGGCGTATTCATCAGCGGGGGGGGGGTAATGCCCCCCCCCCCCCCCTCGGACCAGTGAAATCTAGTTTTCAGGCCCCAACGGGTGCTGACCCCCCTGAATATGCCCCTGTAGACAACTATGAAAGTTATACATCAAATTTTTAAACAGCCTCGAATTTAAAGCGTCGCAACGGCTTTGGCTTTGGTTTTACCTCACCAATTTTAAGTAGCCCTAGGCACATAAATTCTAAAAACCTTAGTTTAAAAGAAGTACTTGGAAAAATACTGCTAGATTTTTGCGCGAGAGCGTGTACTTTTTGGTTCGTAAAGAGGGTTACCCACAAACGACTATACGGAATTAATATTCATGATTTTCCTTAAAAAATCTATTAAAAGACTTTATTCAAGACAGTACACTTATTTTAACCTTGGGATCGTCCTATGATGTTTTTTGTCGTCTCTATAGTTTCATCCTTTGTTGGTAACCCTGTAGTTCAGCGAACTCTCTCCAATTCATTAAATCTGGTCCCAGTTCTCCTGGAGAATGGATATACAGGTTCAGAGATAGATACACTCCTACTCCAGGGTGTAGTGGAGACTCCAGACAAGTCCAAACTATGATCAGGATTTAAAAGGATTGTTACCTAAATATTTAATGCATGATTTCGAATTAAGTCTATAGTGACCATAATCCTGCCAATATAAAAATTTAAACCAATTTTCAGGAAAATTTTACCAGTTCTGATAAAGCAGTGCTCATGGCGGTTAAAATCTGCCATTTCTTTATATTCAATAATTTGTAAAAGAACTTGTCAATTTTACGCTTCAACTAGCCCTCTAGTTTTTAGCAGGAAATAATTACGTTCTTTGTGATTGTTTAATGAATCCTGACCATACTCTTTCAACAACCTAAAAATCTGATCTGGCATTAAAATTATTTTAAAAAATATCTCATGACATCATTTGTAATACAGATTTAAAAAACCCGATAGGACTATTTGGTAGCAAATGGGGTGTAGGCTAACAATTATTTATCAGGGTTCATTCCATTCTATAATGTCTTTGATTCTTCTCTCAAATAAATTTGTATTTTTAGCAAAAATTTTGATAAATTGTGAGTTAAGGAAAGATTTATCAACCTCTTACCGGTCAATATTTAAAGTTTTTGGATCAGGATCCTTATCACTTTTTTATAACGCTCCCTTACAACAATCCTTCTGACGTCAGGGAAAGAAAAACCACCTACTGCATTAGTGATATACAATTAGAACAATTTGGATTGTGAAGTATAACAATAGTTCAGGGATTTTTAATTAACATGGAAATCTAAGAATGAGAATTTTACTTCTAAATTGACGAATTGGGTTTTTAATAAATTCGTATGATTCGAACATTGGTGAACTTAGACCAGAGTTGCCCCCTGCCCTCCAAAAAAAAATCAAGAACGCTGTTCTTAATTTTAACATTTTTCTAAAAAAAAAGTTGCCAAAAATTAAGAACATTTTCCAAAATTAAGATTTTTATGAAAACATTTTTGAAATAGCAAAAAAAATTACAATTTTTTTAAAACTTTTAAGAACATTTTTTTGAAATCCCACAAAAATTGGAAAAATATGAAAAAATTAAAAAAAAAAAAATTCCCTTTTTTATTGTCAATCATCACTTTCATAAGTTTTTTGCTTAAGATAAGCTCTTTGTTCTTCGAATACTTTAATACTCTTCTTCTTTTAACTCGCAACTGCTTTCGTTAGTCATCTTACTTGGGGACACCTCAAAACTTATCTTTCATTGGTTTCCTAAACCTGAACCATGATGCAACCTTCATAAAAATTTTAAGAGTTACTTTGAAAGTTTAACATTTAGAGAGAATATATGAATCTTAAATATGTTAAAAAATATCATTAAAGTAACAACTTAAAAAATACAAAACATGTTCAACCTAATATTGAAGTTTACACTGATTTAAACACTAAACATGGAACTATTGTTCAGTACAGAAAGTTTAAAGTCTGGTTATGATGTAGTAAAATATTTTATCTTTTTAAAAAATGGGGTGCCATAACAAATGGAATTCGTTTCTATTTTTCATAAATTAATCAACAGGAAATCAATCTTTACAAGTCACTTTTTCTGACATGTTATTAATTACACATCCTCTTTCTGGCTGGGGTCCTCTTAAAACAGTTTTAAAAACCCCACTTATATCATTTATAAATTGAATTCTTATCTATCTTCTTAACCTGATGTACTAAAATGCAATAAGAAACATATATACAGAGGAGGTATGAGGATTGAAATCAGAACTTTAAATAAAATGTAAGAGGAACTATCTGATGAGTTACAAAAACAAAAATTTTTGCTTCATCATATTTTTATGGTTTCACAGGGCCTTTGATGAAAATGTCGGGAATATAATTTTAACATGAAATTTGTTTTAAAAACATTTGAAAACTTGAAGAACTTTTCTCCCCGAAAATTGACAAGTTTAAGAACGAATTGCGGTTTTAAAGGAAAATCTTAAATCTAAGAACCGGGGGCATGCTAGACCCTTTTATCTCGAGAGTGAAAATATTTTTCTTTGTATTCAGACCGTGCAAATAACATTTATTTAGTTTTTTTTTATTTCGGATGATTTCCATGTTAATTGTAAACTAGTCACTCTCTTTATCTTGCATGATCCATTCGTAAACAGACTATGATTGATTTAACAATTTGTTAATATTTTATATTTTAATATATATTTATTTATACAAGTTTACAAGTTTAATATGTTTGTAGATCATTAATATCAAAATATCTGATAGAAAAATAGTTTAAGATAAAGCAATTTAAAACAACTGTTACAAACCATGGATGAGATAGAGAGAACAGAAATAATTAATAATTAAGAATAATAAGAATAATTCACGAACAGCACTTTCTCATTCTTTCTCCGAGCAACAGGAATTCCCGTTCTTTATTGCTCTAGCATAAATTTAAAGGGTGCAGTGTGCATCACAAACCTCTTTTAATGGAATTTACTTAAAATTGAGTTAATAGAATTATTTTATATAGATAAAATAAAAAAGGTTTATTTATTATAAATGCTTTAACATTTAATCACAGGCGGCAAGTTTTACTTTGGTATTTCATTTTAATATAACTAGGGTTAAAAATATCATCAATAAAACTTCATTTAAAAACAAAAATTGGAAATAAAAACGAAAAATGTTTAATAATCGAGAAAACAAATCCCCGAACTTTGAAGATTGTCTTTTATGAAAATAAAAGAAAAAATATTTGTTTTGTTTGGAGCTCTTTAACCACAAGAACTCCATGTACACAATTTGAGACCTAAATTTATATATTTACATTTCTAGTATTTGAGAAACTAGGCCCTTTTTTATCAGCAGAGACGGTGGGCCATGTAAGAGTTAAATAACAAGGATAAAGTTTAGAAAAATATCTTGGAAGAGATCCACATCAAACCTCTGAAACAAATGACAGTAATAAAGAACATATTTTTGGTAAGATAACAAACTAAATAAATTAAAGTAAAATCTTTCATCTTTTGAAACAGACAACACAATTTCCTGCTTAAAACTAAACTATTTAAAATGGTAACTTAAAAAATGACTTTCCGCAAAAAGATAAAAATAAGTTTGATTTTAAATCTTGATGAAACAAGACTATTGAAAATTTTCGATCGGACAATACCACTGTCAAACCAATTTATTTCTAAACAAATTATAACAAAAATATTTTTACCCTTTCCGAAGTATTAATGAATTAAATATTGATGTTTTCTCCATTTTAACTATTTAGGATTTTCTTACTCTCAGGAAAATTATATCTTCTAATGCAAAATGTAGACTCTAGCAGGAGTTATTAGTTTTGCTTGGTTCAGACTTATATAATTCAACCATAATTTAATAAAAGCAAACTTGTTGAAAATAAAACTTGTTTATAACCGAGCAAGTTATTGAGAAGCTACATAAAAGTAAAAGTAAAGTTTTAGTTTAAGTTCAAGTTTTAAAAATATATAGTTTACCTATTTATCTGTTTTTTAGTTGGTATAAGTTTAGTAATCGTAGTTCTCCTGGTTAAAGTTCTGCTTCCTTGTGTTTGCTTGTCTCTGCTTGGCAAGAAAGGACTGCCCCTGGCTAAGAGTAGAGAGACGGTTTTCCACAGCTCCGCGCTGCATCTTTAATCCAAAATCATAGAACGCAGTCGCCATCAACCTCTCCTCAACCTCACGTAGTTTCTAAAAAAATTTTAAAATTGTGAAGTCCAAAAGATCCTGGACTTTGCTGAAGGTTGATATAAACGGTTTATATATATAGATACAATTAAAAATAAAAATTGAAAAAGCTAGAGTTTTGTTTCAGCCAATGAGATTGCTGAACTATATTACAGGAAAAAAAGTTGAACTGATCCTTACTAGCTCAACTACTTCACTATTTAAAGGGAGTGACCGGCTATGTAAGGTAGTTAAACTGAGGACGCAGTGTTGTGGAAAACTTTATTTGAGACATATTTCACTTTTTAAAAGTCTGTAAATCCTGAGTTTGAGCGCAAATTCGACGTTCAAAACTCCTGATTTGGGGGTGGATACGCTTTCAGAATTAGATTTTTAAACTATTAATTAACGACGACATAAAATGTAAAAATATTCTAAAATAAACTACAGACGTCATGTTTAGGAACATTTTGAGAAAATAAAAATTAATCTTATCATCGAAAATAAGTAATCTTGTTCAATTATTAGTTTCTATTATTTCATTATTCTAGTTTCTCGTTATTCACAAAGATGTTCGCAGATTTTCTATAACTTTTATTGAAAAGACGACATTTAAAGAATTTGAAGAAATCTGCGAATAAATTCAAAGAAAATTACAACTTAAATATATAAATGAAAACGAAATAATCGATTTTAGCATTGATTTATTGACAAATTTCTTTTGTGAAATATGTTCCTAGCCATCTAATTAGATTACTGTATAATTTTTACTTTATTTTTCGTTGTCGTTATTTAATAATTTAAAAAACTAATTCTGAAAGCGTATCCAACCCCAAATCAGGAGTTTTGAACGTCGAATTTGCGCTCAAACTCAGGATTTACAGATCTTTAAAAAGTGAAATATGTCTCAAATGAATCCTTAAGAAGTTTTCTACAACACTGCGTCCTCAGTTCAACTACCTTACATAGCCGGTCACTCCCTTTAAA